TGCTGTAGTAGTTTGTTACAAGGCTCTGGCACATCTCCTGAGGAATCCCAGCCCATTCCTCTTTGGCAAATCCTTCGAGCTCCTCCAGATCTGATGGTCTTCTAGCATGGACCCTGGTCTTCAGTGCAGCCCACAGATTTTCAATAGGATTTAAGTCAGGGCTTTGTGCAGGCCAGTCAATAACGTTCACTTTGGTTTCCTGGAGGTAGCTCCTCACCAGGAGCGCTATATGTTTTGGGTCATTGTCATGTTGGAAGACAAAGCAACGACCCAGACCCAATTTTGCTGCTGACTGCTTGAGGTTTTCTTTCAAGATCTTCACATATCCTTCTTTCTCCATTATTACTTCAACCTTGACAAGATTCCCAGTTCCAGATACACTGAAACATCCCCACAGCATGATACGCCCACCCACATGTTGACTGTGGGGACAGTGTTCTTGGGGTTATACGCCTCTCCCTTCTTTTTTACAAACATAAGCAATGTCTCTGTGACCAAAGAGCTCTAGCTTGGTCTCATCTGACCAAAGAACACATCTCCAGTATGCACAATCTTTCTCCAGATTGTCCTTAGCATACCTCAGTCTGATTTGAAGGTGTCTCTTTTGTAGAATTGAAGTTTTTCTTGGCCTGCATCCTCACAGTCCATTTCTGTTCAGGGCTCTAGAGACTGTCTTGTTTGACACCACAATCCCTGACTTGGCTAAGTCAGCAACTACTGTTATGGTAGTTGTTCTAGGGTGTTTAGACACATCTCCCACCAGCTTTCTTTCCAGTTTCCGTTAAATTTTTTGCTTCCTACCTCTCCCAGACTTGTTCTGTACTGTGTGGCTCTCCTTGAATTTCTTGATGATACTTCTCACTCCACTTATTGATACTTGGAAACGCCATGATAAATTTTTATATCCTTCTCCTGCTTTGTGAGCATCAACAATTCTTTTTCTCAAGTCTAAATTGAATTCTGTTGTATTTGCCATGATGCCTTCTTAAGTGACAGCTCAAACGCTGAACAAGGTTTTTATACTGTGTGTAAAGTGTAGGACAACCCTTTGTTTTACCTTGATTGATTGATGACAAGCTGTGAGCACTTGAAATTGAAAGCACATGATTGCACAACAGTGTTTTTTGTTTTGGCTCAATAAAAACGTCAATTCTTAATTCTGTGTGCAAAGTAAAATAATGTAAGGATCCAAAATAAAACTAGGATATTTGGAAAAGCTGTGTAAGAAAAATCATTAATCTGTTGAACAGCACTTCAGAAATTTTGGAAAAAAACTTTTAAGTTTCATAGGGGGGCTAATAATTTTGGCCTCAACTGTATGTCACCCCGTTTCATCAAATTAAAGTACTTATTTGCTTCACAAGGAAATAGTGAAATCCTTTATTCCAAATTTTATATTTATGTTTTTAATTTTTTATATCACTGAGGACATTCAGCTTGTTTTACCACTTGAAAGACACTGAACTGTCTCTTCCATACGGGTTCTCACTTTGTGTGTTTAGAGATAGTCATAGGGAAAAAAAATCAAACAAAAACACAGATGTGAAATATATAAACACTTTATTCCCAGAAGTTGTAGCAGTGAGTTATCTTCAGACATAGAAAGGCCAAAATAAACTTACTTCAGTACAACAGTATGATGTACGACAAGAACTTACCCAGAAACACTCTGTAAACCCACATACAGAAACACTTTGATTGCTAATTTCCCACCAAGCTACTTAATGGACACTGGACAGGTCTAGTATACAGACAACAGGACACGGTTTTGCTTGAAGGTGGGGCAGCATGAATGTTTGATTTTGGACATCGAATGTAGCAGGTGGGTGGAGTTTAATTGAATTATTTGGTACAAGAGCGATCACCCTGTTTTATGGTGTGATGTGAGCGTTGATGGAAACAGACGACACATCACCAAAGTACTACAAACAGCTGGACCACAGGGTGGATCGGACGAAGGGGAAAGATGCCTTGTTGCCCTATAAACTGCAGATTACACAAAGATCGGTACAGGTATAGTTTTCTGTAAGACTTATCTCAGATCTGACTAGATTATTTTACCTCAGTGAAGACCAGTGTAAATCAAACAGAGCAACAAAGCATGTTCAGAATCTCACAGGAAAATATAGTGGAGAGTCAAACCTCTCTTGTTCATCATAAGAAAATACCAAAGTTGAAATCACAACTCATTTGATCTCAAGTGCAAAATTCAATACTTAACAAATCACTCACACCCAATCTACCCCTGATCAGAAACCTTATTAATTTTCAAAGTTGGATCTTTAATTGTGCCAAAAACACAGCAATTCAGGAAAGTGCTAGAGGAGTGAGAGGGCAGGAAGGACACAAATATTGCTTCTCCATCGTGATGACAATACTGTGAAGTTGTAAACATAAAGAGCCGCATATTATCATACTGCTTGATTACGGAGTGCTAGATTTTCATTACTCTCTCAAGAAAAGAATGGAGATTTTGGAGTGTTAAAAAAGCGTTTGGGTCATGTTGCCAAACACTGGAAAACACTGAGCAGGAGAAGTTTGTATTGCTTTGGGTAGGGATCAGTTATTCTCTTAAAAAAAGTAGTAGAAACACGTGTTTCAAGTTGAAGAATCATACCTTGTTCATTGTATCAATCAGCAGCCTCTGTTGTAAACAACAACTGTACACACACAAACACATTCACACAGAGTACACACACTCAAGCATGCTCACACACTCAGCACCTAACCTCTGACGGACCAGGGGTCAGGATGGGCGTATGGAAAAGCCATGCAGGGCAACAAATGCCAATTCAAATATTTCTTAAATACTTTTCCACACAGTTCTTTAAGTAAGGAGTTCTCAGTGCACGACGTGCGGCTCTGCAACGGAGCGCAGTTCAGTCCCGGCACAGCTTCACTGCACTAGTACAAAAAGTTGAAGCTTGGAGTGGTAAGCCCCTGACATCCAAGGCTCAGAGGAGACTCTGCTGGGGGAGAGAGGGGGGAGCAGGGGGGAGATGAAGAAGCTCCAGGTTGGTTCACAGAGTAGGCAGCAGCACAGACAATCAAAGACGTTAAAACGGAGTGATGGGGGAACTGGGAGGAGTTTTCGCCCGCTTGTTTGTGGTCTGTTTTCGTTGGCATGGCTTGGAGTTCCAGGTCACAGGTACAGGGTCACAGGATCGAGGATTCACAGAGGGTTCAAAGGTCAGAGCCAAGGTGCACGCTGATGCTAGGGGAGCGCTGCGTGTGGTTTGGCGCCGGGCTCAAGTACCCCAGCCCATCCTCCTGCAGGCTGCACGAGTAGCGGCCAGCTTCAGAGATGGTGTGGTTACTGGTAGGAGGAGCGTTTCCACTTGCCACCTGCTCAAACGAGCGAGAGAAGACGGCGCTGGCAGTGCGCGTCAGGCTGGTGAGAGCCCCCGCCTTGGGCACCGATTGACTGGAGGTGAGCGTCAGCCGCTTGATAGACAGTTCTGCACACTCACTGGCAGCCCGGCCGGTTGTTAAAGGGCCCGCTTCTTTGTCCTTGTCCTTGCTGGAGCGCCCACCGAGCCGACACTTCTTCATGGCTTTGGCCCCAAGGTTCAACGTAGTAACGCTGTTGCTGATAGTGATGGTGGGAGGGGTCATGTCAGGCCCTACCCCACCTGGCCACACCCCTTCATCCACCTCTGAAATATCCATCAGCTCATCCGGGGAACCCAGATCCACTGCGTCTGTTGGACAGAGAGAGGGAGAGAAAACAGAGACTGAAATGAAAATCAGGATAAACCTGGAGGTGAAAATAACTCGTCTGTCATCCAGCCCAACCGATCCAATCAAAAGTTTAAAATATTGATCATTAAAAGTGAGAATTTAATAGGGTGTTAGAAGTGTCAAATTCCTGGACATAATATTTGTGATAGGATGCATGACAGAGGAGTTCTGACACTGTCCAGCAGGTGGCGCCTGTACACTGCAGCCTCCGCTTACAGGGACAACTCGCCACCTGCATACAGTGCGAGATCTTTCTTACACACAGGTTAGATTAACCAGCAGGGTTGTGAGACATCAGTCAGAGGTTTATTGGCAGAGGAGTGCATGTTTGACCCGAAGGCAGGAAAAGACTTAAGCCTTGGAAAAACCACAGAGGGAAAGTAGAAGAAGGCAGAGAGAGTCAAACCTAAAAACACTGTTCACTTCTGTCTCTACACACACACTCTGAAATCTTTCCTGCTTTCTTTAAAGGCATGCATCCACCTGCGTGAGTCACCGACAACCCACTTTATACACAAATACACACTTTAGATCTGATGCTACCATGGTAACAGAACACCTGTAAACAGCTGGTGTGCAGACAGATAGGCAGGTCTTGATAAAATCGTTCATGGTTCAAAACAGGTCAGTCGTCACTGAGCATTTAGATAATCAGACCTGCATATCTTTCCTCAGCTTCTAGCTACAAGTCAGAAGGAAGTAATCTGTTTCGTGGCGCAACACGGGGGGTAACATGTCGAGGCGTACTGAGGTGTGTTTTAAGCTCACTGAACCCTCCAGTGAAAACCAGGAATAAGTACAAGAAATAAACTCATGAGACGATCACTGTGTGGAGTACAGCAAGACTGGGATCACCTGGAGGGTTTTGTTGGTCAGTGATCATGGCTTTTTGCTAATGAGGCTAACTCTAATTAAACAAGAACCTAAATCAGTGGTTCTTAAGTCTAGTCCTCGAGGCCCACTGTCCTGAATGTTTTGGATGTTTCCCTGCTCCAACACACCTGATTCAAATGATGAGCTCGTTATCAAGCTCTGTAATGGCTTAATAACGAGCTGATCATTTGAATCAGGTGTGTTGGAGCAGGGAAACATCCAAAACATGCAGGACAGTGGGCCTCGAGGACTAGACTTGAGAACCACTGACCTAAATACAGCTGTGACTTTTAGAACTCAAGTATACGTATGTCAAACTTTTATAGCCTCTGTTTATGTCCTCCAAGTCAACAATGCCCTGATACAATAGGGTTTTGTGATTCAGCCAAGCGCATTTCATTATAATGCATCTTTTATCAGGTTATTGATCTGTTATTTAGTTAGATCTTTAATAATTAATTGGGTTTGATCCCCTCAGCAGGAGCTCTTGGTGAGAAAGCTTCAGCCACAAAGGAGAGAGTGAATGAATCAATGACGATTGATAGACAAATGAGAGGAAAAGTGCAAGGTTGGTGGAGGCCAGCGCGAAAAAGGTAAAAGTGGGAAGTCATCATGCAGCTTCTTAGACCGCGCCCTTACACATGGTTACCTAGGTTACCCCAGGAGCGGGGCAGGGGGGAAGGAGGGGGCTTTAGTACTGGCTCCTCCCTGTGGAGGCTAACCCCTCGTTCTCCACCATCCGCCTCACAGACTTCTGCCTCCTGACCTCCTGACCCCGTGAGCCGGAGTCGTGTACCCGGGGGTCCGGGCTGACCTCAGAGGCGCTGCCCATCATGTCGGTCTCGGGGCGTGGCCGCAAGGAGTCTCCGTTGGCCATGCGCTCGCCGCTCACACCTGTCACACTGATCTCTGGGATGGCCACGCCCCCCTGTGCAGCGTCAATTTCTACACTCACTTCCTGGGACTCTGGTGGGGCGGGGCATGTGTATACAAACATACATACATACAGACAAAGAGACAGACAGACACAGACAGACGGGTTTCATGCACACATACATAAGGGACAGAGAGACGGTCGTGTGCACAGGCACACACGATCACAGGGACACAAGACACACACAGAGGTTATCAATGTGATGGCAGAAAAATAAAAAGACAAAAATCATAATTACAGAACAGAACAGGTGATCAAAAAACATGCTACATGGAGACAAATACAAACACCGTACCTTTCTGTCTCTCTCCCACACTCTAGCAATATTTGAGGATAAGTTCCTCCAGCATCTGCTCTTGAGAGGAGCCCAACATATTAACAGGCAGCTCTGATACAGGCGGCAGGATTCATGAGATGAAAACAGGGCGTTACGCTCACACTAAAACCCCCTCATTAAACAAACAGAGAGCTGTAATTGACCTGCTTCATCTGCACTCTACAATTAAGGAAGAAACACTCTTTTTACAAACTGTTACAGTCTGTTATCATCAGTGACTTTACGGTTGATTGGTACACATTTTCCTCTAAATCCTTTCACTGGCATAGGTCCTTTATTACACCACACCGTAAATATTCAGGATCTTTTATTTTAACGCACTTCCTGCTCTCTGGATCTGATCTGATCTGTCTGCACTGTGTGGCTGTGTCTACCTGTTTCTCACTGACTTCTCTCAAGCTCAGATCAGGGATCCTAAAAGGGGAGGCGGACAGCTCATGCTAGCAAACTGAAGAGGGATGACGACAACACGTGTGTACACAATGACTCGAAATGGTAGAGCGAACGAATAACAAAGTCTCTTCTGCTTTTTCTCTTTTTGGACGGATTTTAATATGTCTGTGATATTGTTTCAAGCATGTGGTGAGTGCATGCAGTCGTTTTCCTCCCACATGCATCCTCACATCTGAATTTCTTTGCCAGCCTGTGTTCAAATCTCACCGTGTCTCTTCCAGCGATGCCCCCTTATAGAGAGAGACGTGACAGCATTTCTGGAGATCCTGGAGGAGGTCGGTGTGATCTCCACCTGGATGCTCCGTGCGCCCTCTTTGTTGTTGCTCTTCAATGCCGCACTGTGCATCGACGACTTGATGGCGTTACCCACCTGAAGGCAGAGAGAAGCGTACAAGGAGTGGGAGATGAGAAGAGAAGAGCAAATGATGACAGTAAGAGATCCAACAAATTAAAGACATTAAACTCCTGGTACACCAATAAAAATACTCAAGTTTGGTGAATCTGGTCAGCAGGGACAATGTTTTTTAAGAGCTCTGTCAGTGAAACATAAAGCACAAGCAGAATTCCTCAGTTTCTCACATCACTCCCTGCTCTCTCACTCTCCTTGTTTCCTACTCTCTCCACCATCATACCCTCTCTGAATGAAGCCAAAAAACAAGAAAATAAACATTTTAAGAGGCAAAATAGCCCAGTGAAAGAAAACTCACACCTATTTTGACTGACTGAACTGATGTGTTTAACACTCAAGTGGTATGAAATGTAAAAAAAAAAGACAATGTAGGAAAAGGCTCAAATTTAAGGCCTCCTTTCAGTCAAAATATTCGACATGCTGTCAGCTGTCTCTAAACTTGAAACTGCACATAAACGGGTGTAGCAGGTTGCTTTTTCTTGCTTTGTAAATGCAAATCGTATACAAATCATCTACTTTGGCAATTTCAAGGACAGAATGTTTTGTTCAACTTAGATTGAGAAATTCACTTCCTGCACAAAGACTGCAAACAGTTCTCAGATGAATGTAAAGTGCTTTTCAGTGTTTTACAGCTTTCTCATGTAAAATTTCATTCTCCAAAAAGAGGGCATGGCAGAGAGTGTATGGAAGATTTTTTTGAACTTGTTAAACAGGTATGAAAAAAGAAGATATTGTCACTTATAAACCTCCTTTTGTCTAAAATGAGACTGTATTGATGCACACTGAAAGGCTGATGTATGAGTTGGTACAAGAAGGTGATTTACAGGAATATTAAGATTTAAGAAGAACAACAAAGGCTCTAAGTTCATTTTATTTTCTACTGGTGAAGTCTGCTTTTAAAAGTTCATCAGCATCAAACAGAGAAAACGAGTAAAAGTCCTGGCTCTGAACAAAATACCTTTGAGAAGTATTTGAAGTATACTGAAAAGTATTTCTGATACTTCTCAGAAGTGTTTTTCTTCCTAAATCAGATGGAAGTTGAAGATCATGTGACCGAACAAATAACATCCGATCATAATCCCATTTCTAACAGATTTGTAAACAGGGATAAACCTCAGAGCTTAGTGCAAACTGAGTTGCACAGAATGGTGCTTAAAGAAAAACAAACATGCTTTGTGTTTCACTTCATTTCCACAATAATCTCTGCTCCCTCTGAAAATCCTCGAGTGGACCCTCGTCCTGATGATCGTGTTCAACTGTTGGCACGGAGGCAGACAGCACTGCAATAATAACACCACCACATGCCTTTTTTTTGCAAGTCTGCATCCCATTGGCTCCGCGGTGAACACGTCATCCAGCTATGCTAAGCTAGCAGCCACCTGGTGTGACGCAAGGCAACAAGTAAACACACAAAAAACCAGACAAAACAAACTTGTAAGCCATGAGAGTCTGTGTGTGCTCATGGCATGTGTCCACGCAGCTTTTTCCGTATTTTCAACAGTGTTTTCAAATCCCATCACCCATCCTTATTAAGGTGGTGGTGTTTTGATTGTTGTGGAGCAGTACACCTTGACTTGTGTAGTAATACTCTGAGCTTAGGTCCGATCCTCCACTCCCTGGGCCTCAAGGATTATAGCTTAACTGAGCAGAGTGGAAAGCATGTAAATAATCTAGTGGGATTACACTGCTTGCAGTCGCTGACCCACACAGAGGCCATCACAATACAACATAGTGTGCAGTGTGTGAACCAAAACTACAGGCGGGCATGTGCGTGAAAGTCACATGCTCTCTTTCAAACACACACATCTACTCCAAAACACACACACACACATTCACACACAAACAAAGGAGATGTAATACTCAAACAAAAAGTGGCTGCACCCACCAACAGAGCTTCAGGGAACAGCTCGAGCTGGGCACGATACAGGACATCATCCAGCGCTTTGGATCCCAGATCAACCTCCCCATTACACCTGAACAGACACAAACATGTGATCACTTCAAAACACACAAACTATGGTTTAAAAACACAGATTAAATATACTTCTCTGTATGTGAACACATCTGTTTGAAGTACCAAAATATATGTACACACCAAGCGCCCAGGTCAGTAACATGAGGTAAAAGCCTCATTATCTGATCAGAGCTGAGACTGACTGCAAATCTCAGGGAAGATTTTGGTCTAGACTGAAGATGTGGAAGTAAATTTGCCTCCAAGTGCCAAAATGATTTATGACAAATACAAATCAGCATGTTTGGAGTATTTTAGAAAAAAAAAATCAGATAAGATGAGCAACCAAACCTGGCCAGAAAATCCATCATAAAAGGGGAATCCTGATATAAACAAAACATTGGGACATAATTAATATGGCATGATCAGTCAAACCTGCTCTTAGACAAACAGTGAGATAAGTAGATGTGGTCTATAAAAAGAAAACAGTGGAGGGGAGCTAAGCAGCAGACTGAAGTTAATGCTCATTGCTTTTGAATTATGAGGATATTTTTGACGGTAATGTTAACATTATATCAACTGGATGGACACTGGAGCCATCTTGGCTAAAAGCCGCCTTGCTGGATTTCCTGTCTGCACTAAGAGCATCAAACGGATACTGATACAAGTAGAGCTACAGTCCTCATGTGTTGTTTTTTAATGGAATATTTATTTTGTCTGCAGATCACTCCCCTGCTTAGAACCAAAGAGGATCATTATGAATCTGAACTGTGAGTAAAGTGTAACGCTGAGGCTGGGAGTTGACTTGTAAACACAGGGATGACTCCTGGAAACACATTTTACTCTAAATGTTGGACTCACTAAGGACCCTGATTTTTGGGTTGCCAGATGCACAAATTAAAAAAGTACACATTCCTCTTCCTTTTTATTATTCAAGCTACTTCAGTGTGCTTTTACTTGAAATACATTTTTGCAGTTTCAGTTTTTGCAGGCATGATTGTGCACTCACAAAGCGTAATGTATCCCCGTGATGAGCTGCACCAGGAACTCTGATGTGACTGTAAGCCGTGTGCTAATGCCCTTGTAGCGCCGTATCTGTTGCCGTGGGTAACCGCATATACACACCCTGGAAGATAACCATTGGAAAACACAATAGAGGCGCTTGATTAAGTGAAAACACTCCGCTGAGGCGCTCGGCCGCAGTTCCATCAAGGCAATTTCACTTCCTCAACGCACGCTACATGATGATTTATTAATGGTGCACAACATTTCCCACAGGATTTGAAATACTGTACAATGTCAGAGGATAAATCAAGAAGGTTAATTATTTCCACACAGATTTCATAAATGAGTGGAAATAATTACATATTTACACCCACTCCAGTGGAATAAATGTGTCTATTCAATTGGACAGGATAACACCTGAGCAGTAGGAGCTGTGATATACTGTACACAGCAAACTGTCTGAAGGGAAATCAAGGCTTATCACTTCTCTCTCTCTCTGTGCTTATCAGAGACATGCTCAACTCTAGTTGGCAGATCATCAGAATTACATAGCTGGGTGTGTTCATAACAGCTCTTTGCCGAATAGTGGTATCTTGGCTCTCACTGGCAGTAAAGTATATAAGAGGATCAGATAAGCAAGGCTTTGGAAAATATTGTGGTTACGTCCGTGTGCGTCTGTGAGTGTGTGCGGAAATAGCCTTCTCAGAAATACTGACGATCAAAAACTGGCACAAAGGTCACATGATAATACTCCAGAATGAGAGCAGAGTTCTCCAGCCTTCATGACAAAGTGAGCCATAGGTCACTGCAGGATGATATTAAGTTCTTCTGAGATATATATATATATATATATATATATATATATATATATATATATATATATATATATATATATATATATATATATGTGTGTGCGTCTGTGTGGGTGTGTGTGTGGGTGGTGTGCGTTTCACCTGGAGCTGAGCTGGCAGAGGGACTGGAGGGAGGTGGATGTCATGTAGCTCAGAGCAGCATTGTAGCACAGCAACAGGAAGGTCAGCACCTCGAATCTAAACAAAAACACAACCTTTAAATGGCACAACTGTTGTCCAGCTACACTGACAGGATGTAACAAGGCTTCAAACTCACAAGTTAGACACATACTTCAACTCCACATATATAAAAGATGAAATCCAACATTAAAAAAAACTATTTTATATGCACTGGTAGGACACTTCAGCCAAAAAGTTCTAATAATGACTGCTTTCATTGATCATTTCAATGATCCGGCTGAACCAAACTGATTTTGCAAGATAAAAAGCTCATTTTACAAACAAAGGTTTTTGTTCAGTTCGTATGAAACAGATTAGAACAAATTAAAAAAAAAACAGCCGGGAACAGTAGAGGATATTCAACAACAAACCATGACCTTCAGAGTCTGGCTGCACACTGGCCTCATTACTGTAATTGAGGAAACTCTAATAGCAACAACATCAAAGCAAAGCCAACTGCCATGGGCCTCCCAGCCTTTAGTGAAGCACACATAACATGATTAGCTCTGGTGAAGACTAAACTACCTATCACTGAGAACGTCTGAAGGGATGAGGTACTCAAACTAGGAGGACTACAAAGATAACCTCGGGTATTTGCTGCACGCTTCATTTTTGATTTACCAATAAAAACATTAAAAAAAAAACTACAGTGCAGGCTGTTCTCTCTCCTTGAAGTGTGAAGTCCATGCATTTGCTTTGAAAACAAGTCCATGCAGCGGGCTTCTTACCTGTTCTGTGCTGTGAAGTTTTCCCTCTGGAGGTGCGGCCCGCTGTACACCACCCTGCTCAGCCCGTGATTGGCTAGAGCGCCTTCTGTGAGAGCCATGGAGCCGATAGCTGAAGGCTGCAGAAAACAACAAAATCAGTGACAGATTTTAAATTGAATCTGGTTGCATACAAATATGGGGTCTCATTCATGAAACACAAGTAAATCTATGTGTAGAATCTGAAATGGATGTCTTTAGATGTGGAATTAGAAGCCCTTTTAGAAGGCAAAGTACAACTAAGAAAAAGATTTTCTTTTCTTTCATAGCATGATGCTCTCTTTCAGATCACAGCTGGTGTGCTCTGTAGCAATCCCAGTCACTGTGTGGGCTTCATTACAAGCCATCTCCTGTGGTTGTGGTGGGTCAGTAGAGTCAGAAGTCACAGCTTCAGTGGGTTTTATTGGTTAGGCCTCTATCTTAAACACATGCACAGAGCCCTCTGGGTGCCAGGTCAAGAAAAAATTCATAGCTAGATGCAGATGCTAGATGCAAACCGCTGAGGTGTGAACTGCAACCTGTGCACACAAACACACTGATCTGAATTTGTCTGTTATTTCTTTCTCTTGATCTGGTACCTTTAGGCCCGGTGTACATGCAACTATATAAGCAGGCTACATTCTTACGGCTAAACCAGTCACCTCCCACTGCTCCATTATCTGAAGCTCAAAGCTTAATGTGACTTTTTGGATTTTTTGCATGTTTCAAAGACATCTTCCTATAAGCAAACAGATCAGATCAGGACATGAATTGAAACAGTGATTTATATTTTGTGCATTCTTTACCTATGCGACAACTACATGCAAGTAGGACCAGATGTACATTTTTTTAGCACCCGCTGAAAGATCAGAGACACTCAAATATTGACGCATGTCTGAACACGCTTACATTTCCTTTTGCATAAAGTCGCACGGATTCAATCCGCTCGCATTTCATGAATGAGACCTATTCTGTGTAATTCTGTGTGATTCTTACCTCATGGTAGACCGAGGGTTTAGAGAGGGAAGGAACGGTGAAAGATAACACTTTACTCTGTCCATCTTTATCAACTATTTCCTGTGAGACACAAACACAAAGACACAAATGAGAAAATCTTTCCGTGGGCGACAAAGACAAAAGCTTATCTCTTCAAGCACACTCATCAGAAATGAGTGGGTGTTTATGAGTGGACCTCAGGGGTCTTGCTTCCCCACTCAGCCTGTTGGTGTATGTCTCTTCAGTTATTTGTGTGTGTTTTGTGTAAACATACTTGTACACATATGCACACTCACAACTCCCGGGGTTTTGGTCTCCCCCTCGGTGCATGTTAATGTCAGATAGATTAACGGGAGGCTGCTAGTGAGTTGAGCGACAGCTGACCTATTCTGTTATTCAAAGAGGAAGTTAAAGGACACTGTGCTCTGCTGATAGACTGACTGCAGATGCAGAGTCAGATGGATGGAAATAGGGGTCAAGACACTCTAATAACTACAAGTGCATGCATCTCTCTGCAGGAAGCTTCAGGGAGTTTGCAAGGGGCAGCCCATCCATATTTGCAAGGTCATTGTTTTTCAATTCCCCTTTTCTCTAAACTCCTTTTTCCTGAAACAGAGCACGCACAGCTGTCTAATAAGGCATAAAAATGCATGAAGTAATATTTCAAAACACATGAGGCAGAGCCGGGGAAAAAAAAAAAAGATCAGCTGTGACAAAGAATAGTGGCGCTGCAAAACTACTCATGCACACACACGCACCCACCACAACCACCCACCCTCTTCCTCCCACCTACCAGGTTGTAAATGCCCAGCAGCAGGGCCTCGATGCAGCCGGAGGTGTGAGGGTCTCTGGCTGCGCTGACGGACAGGAGGCTCCACAGGAGCTCTGGCAAAAACTGAAGTGTGAAACGCTGCAGCTGTGGCTCACCGCTACGGTAAAACTCGAACAACTGGTGACACACGGGCTCCAGCAGCTGGGAGGGGGGACACGGAAAACCACAAAACACAGGTGCAAAGAAACATTTTTACTGCATCTGTTGCACATTTTGCATCTGGCTGTAGGCTTTGTTATTTTGTAAAGATGAAGCTTGAACAACTTTAAGAACAGCAGAAGATCCACAGGTGAAACATGGGACAGGAAACCAGACAAATGCTTCCATCTAAGTTTAACAATAAATAATATTAACATGAATTCAAACGTTAAACTGTGTGCCCATACATCACTGTAGTTCTCTCGGATGACCTTGTAGAGAGCCGGTACCAGGGAACCTTTTTCTTTTAATGAGGCGGCATAGTTGGACACAGCGCTGTCAGGAAGGGTCTAAAATAAACACACAGAAACAGCAGAGAATTCAGGCACGACTGACTTGACTGAAATCTAAAAATAAACACACAGCATGACAACTTAGTAAGCTGAACATTTGTTGATGCAGCATGAATCTGATCTGTTCAGATTAGACACTCGCTGCCTATGAGTTCAGATGTGATTTCAGGTCTGCACAAAATTATGGTGTCAAGAAAATAAATGGAATTAAAATCAAGACCAAGACGACTATATATCACATTCTGCTTGACTGCTGTAAGTGCAGGCAGGCTGCATCCATCTGATTGTTTTGGAAGTCAGCTGCATGGAGAGTGGACGACAAGTCGCTCCTCCTGCACCGCACAGGAAAATCTAATTTTCTCCTCCAGTATTACCCCCAACGAGCCTCCGCTTCTGTAGCTGTCACGTATCAGGTGGCGAATGCTCAATGTGTGAGCAGCAATTTTCAGGCAGCAGGCACTTCTGAGCGTGTGTTTGTTTGTGTGTGAGGGAGAAATTTTGCCAATAAAAAACAGCAGCATGAAACACGCCGCATACTGATGAAGGGTGGGGGCTTTTTGATATTGCTTTTTGCAAAATCACACAGACAAGGAGAGAGAGCAGCGGTACCTTAAATTCTGACAGCCATTCCTCCACCACTCCTTGGTCCATAGCCAACATGTTCCCTCATCTGCAGTGGAGTCACCTCTACCTGGAAGAGATCAAACACACTTTGCATTATTATTGATGCACAGCAAATACAAATACAGAGCGCACGAAAGCAGTCAGAGCTTCAACGAGGCTCCTTCCATGTTTGCCAGCTTGCTATTATGTGCTATTAATATTCTGTTACACACAGCAAACAATGTCACGGCAGTGGTGAGCAGTGACTGCACACGTTGTTGCAGGCGCGGATTCAAAACTCCAAAGAAACATAAGTCTCTCCTTCTCTCTCCAGACACTCACACACACACAAACACACACACACACACCTCTGCAGCAAGTACCTAACCTCATCTCAGTTCAGGCTTGCAAACAGAAAAAAAAAAAAACATCTCCCACACAGAGAGAGAAAACCTGGCTGGCTTCAGCATGTTCGTTTCATCGAGCTGAATTTGAAGGCTTGTTGAACAGGCAGTCTCTGATCTACAGACAGAAGAAGAGGCTCTTACCTGCTTTCACTAACATTTACTCGTCATCTCTGGCTCCATCACGTTTGGCAATTTCTGAAATCCCTCGCTTCTCATCCCAGCCCTTACACTGTCCGCATCACAACTTCTCTCTCTCTCTCTCTCTTTCTCTCTCTCTCTCCACCTCGAGGCACTCGACTCAAGCGAGAGCTTTTCTTTTTTCTCTAGGAAACCCTGACTTCGAGTGCTGCTTCTTTCGCTCAAGATGACTTACCAATCTCTTCTGTGTCTGAGTTTTAACTAAGGAGAGAGTGTTTTTTTTTTAAAGGACAGAGAGAAGGACTGAACAATGAGAGGAAAATAGCTGAAAAGAATTAAAGTGACTCAAGCAGAGTTTGTTTGGATCCCTAGATCATCCCCTGGGGGACTATGAATATCTGACTGTTTTTGAACTTCCATCCCATAATTAGAGATATTTAATCCAATATCTTAAAATAATCCAGTCTGGGAAAAAATGTCAAACCAACTACTCACTGCCTTCTTAAGAGATTATCTTCTTGTTTGCCCTCAAGCCTTTCTTTTTTTTTTTTGCTTTGACAATAACAAAATTTAATTAGCTGTGATAATTAAATCTGTGATGACACGATAAAGAATTTAAAAAAATGCATAAATGTGAAAACAAGACTGTCTCTCAAGATGAAAACATACAGTATCCGTATTGAGTGCGTTCCGTCGGTATCGCGTCTCTGCTTCGTAGAGCAGCCCTGGGTATCGCATACAGGATGCGTATTTGGAGCGTAGCAGCAGCGTAGCTCAGTATAGAGGAAACAACATGCTCACAACAGGTAGTTTTCCCTTTCTGTGGTCTATTTCCTGCTAATTTGGATATAATTCAGTGAATGTTGAGCTTCTACTGTATGTGAAATAACGTGATTTTACAGTTTTTGGAAGTTTACTCGTTTTTAATAAAGTAAACTATGTTCCTTTATGCTGTGTTGTTACCTTCAGACAGAGTTAGCAGTTAAAAGTCCTGTTGGGGTCCACATGGATCAGGGATTGACCATCGGATTGGACCGTCAAACCAGGAAGTATTTCTCATCTACACGAACTGATACACAGTCGGGAGTCTGCAAATGGTGTCTTATTTTAAAATACTAGATGATCTGAGCGTTTTTTCATGCTTGACTTCCTGTCTTGAATGATCTTCTCTGTGTAGATTGACGTGTTTTGGAAGTGTAGAGCAGCAAAAATAGATTAGGCGCGTATCTTCAGCAGAGCAGCACTCGACACGCATCTGATACAGAGCTGATACGCGTCCTGTATGTGATGCTGCATTGATTAGAATGGAACTATTTGCTGCGTGATGTGCGACACTGATGATACGCGCTCAATATGGATCCTGTATGTTTTAGCCTTAAAAGTCAGCTTAATCACCTGTGCACCATGGCAGTCATCATAAGACAGCCAGCCAAAGACAGATGCTTTCAGCTGAGGGAAGTAGGTCCAGTCCTCTTCTTGCATCTCTGAGGGGTTGCATGTTTTCCACCAGCGTTCACTGCATGTCTAAGCGCTTTGAAATTACAAGCACGGGGCTAAATAGGCTGATGATGAATGCAGAAACAAAGTCCATGTTTGGTAAGCCTGGTAACAGAGGCTGAGTAAAAGGAAAGGGGGGGTGGGGGGGTGGGTAAGTCCCTCCATGAGCACACTTACCATGCAGAAACATGTGCCTGAATCAGAGCTGGAGGTGACATAATTCCACCTTTTAAAACCTCTCACTTCCACATTAACGTCTATTTAAAGTGCTAATCTTTCCAGCTGTGATAAGAAAATGTTTCAAACATACTGTGGAGGAGACTTTGGATTAAAAAAGAGAATATTACAGAGGCACAAGTTCATGGACCCTGTTTCAAACCACAACAGATCATATATTTTATTCTAAAAACATGATTATGATTGATTTTCCATCTCTTCCTTTTCCTGTTTTTGCTGACCCTCCTCACCCCTCCACTGATCCTCATTTCTCCCTCTTCCTGTCTTTCTCTGCTCTCTAATCTGTCTTTCACACACCCAGATGCTTTATTCTGTATTATTCTGGTGCTTGGTCCCTCCATGGCAGCCAGGTGTCTATTTATGGACTGTACCAACGACAGGCACGACAAAGGGGGAGGGGAGCCGGTGACTCATGAAATGGGAAAGGATTATGAGGCAGAATAGCCTCCATTTGGAGAAATTAGTCCTTTGTGGTCTGTTTTTGTTTTCAGGTTAGTGACAACTACGAGGAGGAGGAGAGGGGATCTAAAGCTGTAGTGTGCGTTTGAATGGAAGGCTCTCCTAATGTAGATATAATGAAAGTCTGTGAATAGGACATGGATGAGTCAGACCTTTAAGAGGATGTGTGTCCTCCTACAGAGACACTTTGAACCGGTTGACTCTGTCCAAACTAGCATCTAAAGTGCTAACATCTGTGTCCACAAAGGGACAAATTTACACTTGAGTCATCAGCTGCTTTTCCAAGAAAATCCAAGACGCTGCTACAGAGACACAAAAGCATCAGGAGAGTTTTGACACTCAGACACAAGCTACAGTCACAGGCTTCAGCTGCTCAGTACTGTATATGTCAATATCATGACAAGACATGCAAAGTTGAGCATCATCAACGAGTAACTTGAGCCTGAGACAGAAGAAGTTGAACCAGCCACATCAGCATTACCAGGTAAAAGTCAAATACTGGATAACTCATACTCTGGATGACTGCACTAAGACTGGGCTCAGGATAAGGCTGCAGGCTGAGGTAGTTTACTGGAGCAGTTCAAAACTTGTGGGATTTTTTTGAGGTTTTTGAAATCCTGAAATAATAAACATGTGGACTGAAAATATCCCTCTTGAAATGCCTATCAAGTAGGGATGGGTGATATAGGCTAAAAAATTTATCACGAAAAGATTTGCTAAGCTGGCCATAACGATAAAAGTCTGGATAAAAAATATTATAACCCCCATCTATATTTTTGACACATTTTGTTGTGAGAATACCAGTTGGAATAATCAAATTAGATACTTAACCGCAGGTTTGAGTGGTAGGTTATGGAGAAAACTAATGACGTCAAACAAGTATCAAATGTGAAAAGACTTTCAACATTTGTTGAAACTCTTATTGCACAGAGTGACCAGCAGCAGATCCACTGTTCGATGTCAAGCATACCTGACTGCACTTGTCTAAACCAATCTTGAAGGAAATCCCTCATGTGGAGCCAGCTGCTCAGAAATGTCTTCTTCATCACCTTCAGCCATGTTTGTTTATTATTCTGCTTACTCGCAATTACATCATCAACTTGCATTTATCATTTTATCATGATGCAGCAAATATTTATCACAGAGGAATTTTCTGACGATAAATCTTGAACGATAATTTATCGCCCATCCCTACTATCAAGTAGTCTCTGGATGCAAAACCTTGTGAGATATCCCACCTAAGACTGTTTAGAAAGCTTATCAGGGGAAAACTGGTGACAGAACCATCTCATGCATATATATAAGGGTGTATCAAATCTGGTTAACAGACTATGTTCATAAAGCACTTCCTCTTGTCTTCTGACCTCTCAGAGCACTTCAACATCACATGGCACATTCACCCGTTCACACCACATTCACACACTGCTGGCAGAGGCTGCTATGTATAGAGCTCATCAGTTTTGACTAATCCTATTCACACATCACTGAGTGCAGCCAGCCCAGTAGGGGCAGGTGGGGTCAAGTGTCTTGCCTAAGGACACTTCAGCTTGCGGACAGCCCTGACCTTCCAGCTGGGAGACGACCAACTACCGCTGAGCCACAAAGGTGGGGTAGGAAGGATCTGAGGAAGTGCCAGTTTTTGGGGGAAATCATACAGGACTTCTACAACAAGGATAAAGTGACATACTCCAGGACCTGAGCTAAACAGTTTAGTGCCACTACAACATGCAGCAGGTCCCATTTGGGCTCGTGCACGTAATTCGAGGACATGGAGCGTGCCTCACAACACGAGGGAGGGAGCACCGTCTGCTTCACAACCAATCAGCACTAAGGAGCAGCATCTAGCTCACAACCAATCAGTTTGGGGGAGGTGGAGGATGGCTTTGTTTACAGTCAGAAAGAGCGGGCCGCTCAAAAATTTTTAAATGTTGACTAAACAGACATAAGAGAACACAGCGATATCGTTATATTACCAAATTCCATCCATAACTAATAGATATTGACTGATATTAAAAGCTTTTTTGTATATACACTACAAAAAAAAGATGTGTCTTTAACGGAATCCACCTTTAAATCTAAAAAGATGTACTACTAACTAATTTACATAAATATCCATGAGTAAGATTTTATTTTCACAAACAAATCACTTTGTTGTGAAGTTGAGATCACTCCCTGCCCGTACATATCAGTATTTTTTATCTTGTACTATACACAAATGTCCCTCTGGTAGATATATTTTGAGGCTCATGACAGAAAAATATGTGTAAGTGGAAAAACATGCAAAGATACTGTTACATTAATCTAGATGTTTGCTGAATGTCAAGTTTAAAACGTCTTTTTAAGGGTGCAAAATATCTCAAACGCTTTCTGTTATTTTCAGGAAGTCATTCTTGCCCCTGGCCACCAAATTGTACAGCACCTCCCTCTGTGTAATGTACAGCAGGCCTATAAAATCTAATTCAACTGTGCAATCTGATCGTAAAGCAGTCAGCAACTTGTTCAATGGCCTGATATCAAACTGGGAGACACTGTATTTCATTGAGGCTACTGTATGCTGCTCTGGACAATCTCTCTCCTGTTTGATTCTGCATACTGCTCTGTGTGTGTTATTTCTCCAATTCTCTGCACTTTTTGCACATTTCTGTTGAACTGGGTTTCATTAAATCTGTAATCTGGATAGGAAACTGTTCTAAACGTGTTTTTTTTTTTTTTTTGTGCAGCTCTACTAGGCATTTACGACTCATTGTTAGGGTTGTTGACACTTTATGTCCTTTTCAATAGCCACTTGATCAAACGATTACTCTTTCAGTTCTCTCTGCAACAACTACTGAACTTGCAAACACCCACATATCTGCCTCAGTGTGCATCAGAAAGTTGAGCTCTAGCCATCTTTATATAATTTTTTAATCTGTTGATTTTGTCTTAAACTGATAAGTTGATTTTGAAAATAAAATGAGCAAAACATTTCAGTCATGTGGAGCCAAAGCGGACCTCTTGGTTTTGTTTTAAACAAAGAAGAGCAGCAAAATATCAGACTAGGGAAGTCTTCCTCATTTAATGAATATTAGGGGTGGGAATCACTAGTGGCCCCAAGATATTATATTATCACGATACTTAGACCGCGGTACGATATTATCAAGATAGTTGGGCCATGATATCATATTATCACGATAGTTGGGCCACGATACAATATTATCACAATGGTTGGGCCACGATACAACATTATCAAGATAGTTGGGCCACGATATCATATTATCACGATAGTTGGGCCACGATATCATATTATTGTGATTTTAAACATTTTGCAATACAGCGATATATTGCGATACACTATATTGCGATTTATATATTTTTTTGAATTGTTTAGCTAATTTTGCATTTGTCTTTCCCTAATGTTTGTCTCTTTCATATTAGCTATTAATTTGAAAAAATCAATGCATGGTCAATGACGCGATACGATATATCACCAGACCCAATATCGCGATACTATGCTGTATCGATTTTTTTTCTCACCCTTCATGAATATGCAGTCCATTAATTTTCTTGCACTTAGATAATTAATCCCAAAGCTCTGTACACTTGGCTACTTACCTGCTCAAATACAGATGATTCAATCAATAACTGAATCCAAATCTCAAGAGACAGGAGTACAAACAGCCAGCAGTGGAAAACAGAATAGTAATTGCCCTTAGGAGTACACAGCTGAGCGTAATTATGTCATTAGGCCGATGACTGTCTTCTATCTTCATCAGGGTAACTAACTGTTCACTATCTCTGTGTTATTAGAGACCCACAGATGAGGACAGACATTAATATACACCAGAGACTCACTTTCAGTGATGCAGCAGCTGGTGAGCTTTTTCTGTGAAACTTTAGCACATTGACCAGTACAAACACACACTCGTGCGCACACACACATACACACACACAAACACAAATAAATCAGTGTTAGGAATAAGTGGCTGAGCAGGCTCAACAAGAATAAGTAACAAACCAGTGAAGGGATGAACAAGTAGCTGCACGATGACTCCACCAAAGGGATGGATAAGCAGAGAAGAGGGATAAACAGAGAGCAGATCAATGGCTAAATGAATTGAGGAAGGGATAAATGGATGTACAGTGGAAGAGATGAGGGGTAGAAGGAACGCATGATGACCCAAGGGAAGGATAACTGGGCAGGAGAGAGACAGAGGAGTCAATAAAAGAAGAGAGTTCATTACGTTTCCATCAGTGCTGCCCCCGGCACCCTCCAAGACATTGAAACACATGCCTCTTTGTGATGTAAACAAGCACAAGAAATGGATCTAACCCATGTGATTAGTAGCCTCGCTGTGGCTTACTCAGTTTTTCACAAATGCTTAGCTCTGACGGGGCCAACTGCTTGCAGAGAGATGGAGAATGTGTCATGCATTGCACAAGTGTGTGTGTGTGTGTGCAAGAGTGTTTATTCGATGCCTGGTTCGACAAAACCTGTTCCTGTGAGTGAGCTAAAGTTGACGCTTTTTTCCTCCTGCATTTACACCCACACTTCTGTCTTCGCCTCCATGTAACACACAACAACAAGCAGGGCTGGCATAGTAAATGAGCTTATTTTTGACTCCTCCTTCCAACACAAACAGGTCTCCTTTGAGTTTACATTCCTAATCCTTGTTGTAAGTGTGTTCACATGTCCTGACAGAGCGACAGCAACACACCGGAGAGAGAATTACACACCCGCATGCCTTTACTTAGACAAACAGCGAGAAAATCAGCACTTTCTGAGCATGAAAGCTTCCTCTAAGCTCAACGTACCTGTCTGGGAAAGCCGGTGCGAGAGGGAATTCAAGGGAGTTCCACTGAGAATGATTTAGGAAGACACCCACACACATTCATATCCCTGCCTTCTGATTACCACAGTTCCTATTACACATATGCTTGGGAACCTTTGAGGAAGTGAGTGGGCCAATGAGGTTGAAGGCTTGAATGAAGGGAAGAAAGGAAGCAGAGCCAAAAAGACAAAGTGGGTGGGTTTTTGAAGCCGCCCCAGCTGCTTTTTCCTGTGGTACAGGGTGCAAGACGAGCCAGACAAGCTACTGCTTGGACTGATAATAGTAATGACACCCATATCACTTCCCTGAGGGGTGACAACAACAGGAATATGAAGAGCTGTAACATGGAACGAATAATGGGGGAAAAAAAGTTGCTGAGGTATACCAAGCTGACTCAACTCATGTGCAGACACACCCAAACCACCAAAAAGCCATGACAACCAACGTAAGAAACAGGAAATGTAACAGAGACTATCCCATTAATGCTCAACCTTTAAAAAGCTGGTGTGTTGAGTTTCCTTCAACTTGAATGAAAGCAAACGCCATTAAGGAACTATTCTGAGACACTGTAAAGGTGAAGTCATGTTATGTAACCGAGGTGATAAAGGGCAGAGCCTTTAACAAACCAGGAGCTCACATCTTGACCAGCAGCCCTGCTTAGAGCTATCCATCACTGTAACTCGACCATCTTGTTTTGACATCCCTTTTCAGTGCGTATCACATTTTTCTCATGCTGTCGTCTTTATTTGGACTATCTTGGCCTGTGCTTAACCCTGTTGCATCATCACCTCCCACCTTACTTCCCCCCCTCCTAGGTCCTCTTTGACAGCAGGTTGCTCTGAGCTTTGAGGTTCTGTTTTTCTGCTTCTGCTTTTACTCACATTCATGCACACACAAATACAGCAGGGTACTTACAGCCTGTAGCAAAGTAGACATGACAACAGAGTCTGTGGTTTGTGTGTGTGTCTGTGTGTGTGGTTGTGTGTGGTTTTTTGCTGCTGTGGGAGACAGATAGAGAGATCTGACAGGGAGGAATCCTCTTATAGCAGCCTACGCTCTTTTCTCCGTTGCCTCTAAGCCAGTGATGCGTCTTCGTTCCTCCTCTCTCCTCCCTTCCAATTCCCTGTCTTGCTGCATCGAGAGAGCCTGAGGAGGCGAGTGATTAAGATCCCTGATTTTACAAATTAACACTGCCTTTTATCTGCCCTCCTTCCTCTCCATTTGTCTTCATGCCAGGGTATAACAACTCTCTCATAAGCACTTAATGTTCAGCCTAAGGTTTTATGTTGAAGTATCACTTTTGTTGCAGTAAATTTGCTCCATTTGATTGTTTCTGCAGAGTGATAAAAGTATCAGAGGAAAAGTAAAGTTTTGATGTTCTTCACTGAAGCATTTAACAAAAAATGAAAGTCCTGCAATTGTTCCAATCGCTCAGTTCACAGGGATATTTCATGGAAACCTCAGGCATCAGGGACTAGCTGTGATGCTGGATGACAGCAGAGCACGCACCATCTTCTTGGTCCACGACCTGGCGGGCTTTTCTGTCAGAAAGCATTAAGAGACACTAGCAGCAGAGGATGGGGCACATTAACTAGCCTGCTCAGAGTTTTTTCCCTATGAACACACACATTCTGACCTAAGGACACCACTTCAACAGTGCACAATCAGCCTCCTGACAAACTCATCTGTGACTGGAGGTTAAAACTCTCCGCAGTGACAAAGGCGTACACCAAGAGCGGCACTGAAGAGATAGCATCTGGTTCACAGCTTCTGAGTCATCTATTAAGGAGTTTAGAAAACCTGGTCCTGATTTAAAACCACTTTAACTAGACTTCTAAGTAAGGCTGCACGATATTGGAAAAAAATAATATTGCGATTTTTTCAACCCTGCGATATATATTGCGATATTAAAAATACAGTATTTTCACCAGATGACCTGAATAGCACTTAATGTTATGCTGCACTGCTGAAATCTTGAGGACAGTTAACCTGCTCTGATCTTACCTCTTTTTGTGAATGTTAGTAGAACGGCTTCTGTCTGTCTCAGAGATATTTTTAGCTTTTATTGTGCTGGGACGTTATTGTGGCAACAGATGAACACAGAACACGTGTTTTGGTCGACACCATCCTTCTTTTAACCGAAATAATTCCAGATAACTGACTTTCCTTTTCTTTTTGGCAACAAATCTTCATTTTCGGTGGTTTTCGCTTGTTCGTTGTTCATTTTGCGATCGTTGTTGTTGTTGTTAGCGGTGTTGTGCCGAGAAACGCATGTCCTCCGAGAATTGCATGCACCTCGCAAAACGCGCACTGCTCATAGTAGAGTGGTCCACGGAAATGTACAATTTAAAACCCATACAGTTCTTATTTGTTGGGCTTAACAGTCAGTAAAGTTCCGAAAGTAATTCTCAGCGGACACACGTCTCCCTCCATGTGCAGAACATGTGCAGGGGTGGGTTTTCTCCTCCCTGATTTTGATTGACAGCTGGCAGGGTAGTCTGATTGGCAACTGAGTTAAGGACGAAGGCGATTGGTGGATCGCTGCACAGCACATGCAGAGTCACATGGAGTGTATCTCAGTCGGTTACCCTTGAAATTAAATGAGTTCATTCACCTCCAATATCGCAGGCTCTGCGATGTGACTATCGCACACACGTACATCGCGATGACGATAGTCAAACGATATATCGTTCAGGCCTACTTCTAAGGTATTAACTAGAATATCCCAGAGAGTCTGGAGATCTTTTTCAACACAGTTTCAAATTTTTGAAAATACAAAAAGAGGGAACTTTCCCTTTTTTTCTCGTGACCAGGTCCAATGTAGCCTGTAACCGTGCTCGAGAAAGGTCTATAGCTTCCCTGAGATAATTTGGCCTGAGTCTGACAGGTTTCAGTTTAGTGGTTCTGTATCAGGACAACATTCGATGTGGTCTTTGGCGTGTAAATAACAGTGAAATCAGCCTCTTTGGCATTTTCACACATCTGAAACTGTGTTCAAAAAAGCCTGTAAAGCCTCTGAGATCATTTTGTCTAGATCGGTGGTTCTCAAGTCCTGTCCTCGAGGCCCACTGTCCTGCATGTTTTGGATGTTTCCCTGCTCCAACACACCTGATTCCACTGATTAGCTCGTTATTAAGCCATTACAGAGCTTGATAACGAGCTAATCATTTGAATCAGGTGTGTTAGAGCAGGGAAACATCCAAAACATGCAGGACAGTGGGCCTCAAGGACTAGACTTGAGAACCACTGGTCTAGATCAAATCCAGTAGATGTTTCAGATCAGGGCTACATGTGTCGTGTTCTTACTATCAAGCCACTCCTAAACCAGAGACAACACCACCTGGACTACGAAGAAAAGGAACTGAACTATGGCTGAGTGGTTCGAAGTCCTGTTTTCAGATGAAAGTCAGTTTTGCATATCATTTGGAAATCAAGGTCACAGTATCTGGAGGAAGATCAGAGAGGCCCAGAATCTCAAGTACTTGAAGTCAAGCATGAAGTTTCCACAGTCCATGATTTGAGGTGCCATGTCACCTGCTGCTGTTGGTCTATTGTGTTTTATCAAGTCCAGAGTCAACACAGCTTAAAGTCTACCAGGAGGTTTTAGGGCACTTCATATTTCTGTCTACTGAGGAAACTCTAGATTTCCTTTTCCAGCAGAACCTGCACCTGCTCACAACCAAAACTACCAGAAAGTGGTTTGGTGATTATGGTATTACTGCACTTGATCGGCCAGCCAACTCGCCTGACCCGAACCCCACAGAGAATCTCTGGGGTATCATGAAGAGAAGGGCTCAGGGCCACTATTAAAGCAATGTGAGCTTCATTGAGCCACAGACTAGTTGCCTCTGTGCCACGTTGTCCATTGTCACAGGAATTCGTGCAAAAACTCTGAAAATGAAGAAGCTGCGAAAGAGCAGATGTATTGGGTTGCATTGGATTGGGTGTACGATAAACACTGACTGTCACGCAACTAAAAACCCAAAACTAAGGAAGTGCAGAAACTGGAAGTGAATTATTTTACTTGTTAAACACCGGCAAAACGAGCACATCTCTGAGCAACAGTGTCAAGTTTCACACTCAGACAGGAAACCCCTGAAGTGACTGAGAGCTGCAGAGGAAAGCTGCATCACATGACAGCTATTAGAAAAATCCTAACAACGCATTATCTAACAATGCCGTCTGGCGTACTGGCGCGCGCGCACACGTAGGAATCACCTGAGGCACCTGAACAAGTATTCTACCAGGCAGCTAACACACACACACACACACACACACACACACACACACACACACACACACACACACACACACACACACACACACACACTCTCTCTCTCTCTCTCTCTCTCTCTCTCTCTCTCAGGGTCTGAATAAAGTCAGGTACAAAGTCTGTCCTTGTGTTATCTTGCTGCAACAGCAAAAAGGTTTGCCTCCTTGATGTGCTGAAGTTTTTTTTTTATGACCTTTGTTATTATATTTCGTACTTCCTCACGACTATAACCTCTAAATAAACCTGCAGCTTACTGACACTTTGCTAACCAGCTAGTTTTTCTCAATGACACTCGGGGACCCCAGCTTGCGGTTAAACAGCTCTGTCCTTAAAACATGCAGCTCAATGGGAAACTCTGGCTTTTCTTATTATATAATACTCTGCATTGGTAAACTTACGCCAGGCAGAGCCTGTAAAATAACCCACGGCTGTCTCACTCCCTCTGTGGACTTGCTGAATGACTTCGAGCTGTCACCATCCTTGCTTACAGATTAGCTTGCTCGTTAGCTAGCTTCTGGCTAAGGCGCGACACCAAGTAAACCAATGGAAGTTGGTGTTTACTTACGGGCATGCTATCAGTCAGTTTCCTGGTATCGCTGTCCCGTATCGTTCCGGCGAGACGAATAAACAGCTATCACCTCGCTACTCCATAAATCTCCTCAATAATTCATCAACATCAGCTCCTTCCATCTTCATTACTTTCTCCACTCAGACTACCTTAGACGAACAGGCTTGGTCTCCAGAGAGTGGCAGGCGCAAGAGCCAATGAGTGAGAAATATAAAATGAAGTTGCCGCGCCCCCACATCCAACGTCCAATCAGATTAGAATTAGGCAGTACATTAATAATTTCCACGATCATAGTAGGTTGTCGCTGTCAGTCTGTGCTCCTTGACACCAGAGTGATCTGTCAGTAATGCTTTAATGAATCACATAAATAATTAATTTTGACAATTTATACATAGAAATACTAAGAAAATTTTACTACAGTTTTTTTCATTTGATTTTATAACACCAAGCATAATGATTGTGTAATTATGAAGACAATATTGACTCTAAACTCACTAAACTCAAATGACTTTAAAAAATAGGTAACATTTGGTCATTTTTATTAGCAGTACCCTGTAAGATAAAATTCAGGCAAATCCTTTGTTTTATTCCAAAAACATCTTATTTCAAAGATGAAACCCACCTCTGCAGGTTTTACCCACCACACTCAGTGATTAATCTGTTAAGCCTAAGGCAAAAGCAGCTGCTAAAACTGTCTCCCTTGGATGAATAATGCATGAGCACTTCACAATAACCTTTCAAACAATGGATTTTCTGAAATCAATTACCAAGATGGCATATGGCCGCACATTGTTTGCTTTTACATTATTTGCACAATGGAAGCTGCAGTTTTTAATCAATTATTAAATGCGTGTCATAATAAAGAGCAAATGTGGTCTCCTTGAATATAATAATAACACAACACTGACAGTATGCCTCCAGACAAATCCCTCTGCTTTCACAGGAAACTACATTGAGTTTGATTCACTTATTCTATTAAGAAACAAATCACAGTTAATAAAAATGAAAAATACTCAAAGGAATAGAAGAATATTTACCCTTTAATACCTGTTTCTGTGATTCATTAAGTCTCTTTCCATGCAGTTTAATTAGTAGATCAGACCTAGTATTCTTATGGACTGAGGAGCAGAGATATAAAATGAGTCTACATCACCCCCTAGAGTCAGCTGATAAAACTTCAACCACCCAGGATGTCTTTTACACACATTTTTAGTGTCTTAACGTTCATTAAACTCGTATGGAAAACATTTGATCTTGTTAAATGCGCAATACAAGCAGCCAGAAGGCTCAGCTTAGTTTATATTAAGGGTAAAGTCAGAGAACTACACCTGAAAACACTACATAATATTCATCCAACCTAAGAGTACACCTCATGAGTGTACTTTTTGTTAAATTGAGACTTAAACCATATTTCATGTTTTTTTTTTCAGTTGCACTTTCTGTGTAACTATTTGGAAAGAACATGAAAATAATATCTTATATAAAAACCAAACATGTGATTAATACTGATGATTAAAATGTTTTTACTCATTTTACCGGTACCTTGCCCCTTTTGATATTTTCTTGTATTTTGTTTTGATGCTCATTGATCTGTTGGACTGTTTAAAATAGGTTTTAAAGAATAAAATCAAAACAACCACATAGCCTGCAAAACAGTGATTACTTGGTACATTCTGACACATGCCTGTTGCACATGTCACTGTTAAGTTCTAGGATATGCCTCCTGTCTTATACTGATGTTTGGTGCATATTTAGTGCATTTTTACTGTAATAATTGGATTTAACCCTGAAACCACTACAAATCTGCCCCTGCTATCTGTGCCGCCTCAGTGAGAACCCCTCCAGCCTGTTGTTTATACTCCAGTGACAACTCCTTTGCCCTCCTAACTTCCTTCAAGTTCTCCTCCAGGTTCTCTGTTAGTCGTCTCTCCTCCTGGTAGGTTCCTGCAGCTCCCTTAACTTGCTCTGCCATGTGATCCTTGCTGCGAAGAAGCCAACCAATCATTTCCTGAAGCGAGGTACCCTTTGAGATGATAGCTTTGGCACTCTCAGAGGTTCCCTTCAGTTCATCTCGAGCCAAACACAGATGTGGAGGCACTGGCTCCACCTCCATCTCTTCCATTGATCCCACAGAAACCACATTAAGGGAGAAGTCATAGCCTTTAATCTGTAAGGAGATCCTGTGTTTGTTTCCTGAAAGTGAGGAGAAACAGAGAAAACAGAATAAGCAACGACATCTGCCAATACTGCTTGAACTGGCAGGGAATTCTAGATGTGTCATTACCGTGCTCCTCTCTGATCTTCCCCACACACTCGGCTAAAGCCAGGCTTTCGTCGTGGTTACAGCCATAGGTCTGTCGCAGGTTTCTGATATGTCGCACCATGGTTTCATAACGCTGCTGCTGTTCATTAAAGGTCTCAGCCATGTCAGAAAACCTCTGGTCCAGCTCTGACACACCAACCCGCCTCACCACCAGCCTGCCGGTCCGCTTCACACTGGGTGTATCTTGGGATAGAAAATAAAACCTCACAAAGTTCAAAAGCATTAACAGATTAAGAGACTGAAGACAAAATTTGTCCATGCTGAAAACAGAGAGACATTCACACAGATATTTATAGAATTTGATGTACTGTTGTGTGCTGGTGGGATCTGCCTAGCTGATCCAGGTCCATCCAGGTCTGGTGGTCTAGGCTGCAGAAGAGGCTGCCTCTGAAACAACAAATATGATATTCTTATGAGCATAGAACACGTATAATACCTTATTTCAAGGGAAAGCTTGTTATTACTATATTATAAACATGAACACACGGTTATGTGTTCATGTTCCTCATTCACATCATGTTGCCTCATTTGATTCCTGTTTGGCATTAAATGTAAGATAGCTCAAGGCCCTGTTACACCCTTTGTATTTGTGACAGAGGTATAAATTACTCAAATTTGGGAGAGAATTTGTCGTCACAGACTCAATAAAAATACTGTAACAAACGTTGTTTTGCTGTAAGTAGGGCAAAACTCTAGTCCTTACACATTTAGGCGAGCAGCAATGTCGCTATCCAACAACTATCATGCTTTATTCTAATTTAAAAACATGTAATTTCACAGTATAACAGTGAAAAAAAGTACCTCTTCGTTGGAGTTTTCATCCGAGAAGCAGCAACAGCAGAGTAGACGAAGCATTTTTCTGCAGCTTGTGTCCCTAAACTTGTTTTCAGGTCAATTACTCCTGACAATGAATCTGTATGGAGTCCGCATTCCACATGACGTCAACGTCATGCGACTCTTGATAAACTTTCTTCCTGGTTTGACTGTTTATTGAATCACTGCACAGGTATGAAGGCAGCAGACAGGTGCGCCTCCAGGTCAGCCTCACCTGCGAGGTACATAAAGCGCTGCAGTGTAAGCTGACACGGAACGTTTATTCGAGCCGATCTGTTTGTAGTTAATTTATTTGATTTAATGCAATTATCAAACTACTGAATTGACGGGATCCCACTGAGCAATAGACGGCTATTAAACGTCTAGTTTTTTAAAGACCGAATTTCTGTATATGTTTAGACGTTGCACTTTAACCCTTTATTCGATTTGTATTTCAAAAAGCAACTGTGAGTTGCATAACTGATCTCCAAGTTCTTAAACTAAATAAAATGATAGCCGTTGAGCAATATACAGTGTAGCATCAGATACAGCCCAGATTTAGATTTAGTCCAAACTAATTTAGACGTCTAAACCCCCCCCCCCCCCCAAGATAATTATCTCGGGATTATGGGAAAATTATACGGATTGAATACATGCTATGTCTTTCTTGATGAAAGATATTTCCTCAATAACTCGGGAAAAAAATTCCAATAAATTTTTATTTCCTACAAAAAAATAGTTAATTCTGAAATAGTTTTCTATTAATTCAGAGAAACAGAAGAACAATTTTTTGCAAGTAAATGCACTTCCAAGTCAGAAATTTTATGTTCATACAGCATTAACTTGTAAATAAGATAATCATTGTGCCAAATTAATCATATAAATATACAAAGATGTTTATATTTTTGCTTATTCACTAGTTATTGACAAACAACAAATTTATAACTTGTTAAGACATATTTCTACGAGAGCTACAAGATAATGACTTGTTTCCTCAAGTTATTAGCAGATAGCATGCACAAGTAAGGAGGGATTTTTTTATTTACACCTATTAAACAAACTATAATTATTATTAATGACTTCTTCTGATATCTTACCATTAGCGACATGACAGAATAATTTTAGATCATAGATTTTCAATGCCCCAAACTAGGCACAACAAAATCAAAATGTTCCTACTTGATAATCACTTTTTGTGGACAATTTAATATCTTGTTGGAGCAAGCGACTACCTTGTTCCTAAAGCATAAAGAAATACATTTTTGGAAAATTTTACAAACAATGTAGCTAGAAAAACCATGTTCCTCAATCCTGCAGGTGTGTAATTACTGACGCGGGTCAATAGAGGGCAGACGCGGCTCTCTCAAGCTTAAGGAGGAAACCGTGGAAGAAGAAAATAACAACCTAAGCTAAGTTAAAGCATACAATTCAATAAAAGCTAGTACGTTTAAACACAGTTGTAACGTTTGACAGTAAGTTTCTTCGCATGTTTTCCTCCACGACTCTCTAAGAAGGAGCTATCTTCAGACGAGCGGGTTTTTGTTTTCTACTGCTGGCAGCAAGCAGCCAAACTCTGTTTAAGACTGTTTGTCCACAAAGAGACAGGAGCTACACACTCCTGTCAGAGCTGCTGGAAGTGCTGCAGGTCCATTTCTCTGCACTGTTTGCATTATTCAGGCCGACATGACAGGGGTGGCCTCTCCAGAGAAGGCGTCAAGCTCCAAGAAGAAGAGCGAGAGGAAAGGTGCCAACAAAGAGGAGTACAGACAGCTGTCCAACATCATGGGAGTCATGAACAACCTGAGGAAACAGGTGAGTGTTTTTAAGAGTGTATTCCCGTGACAGGGCTTTACATTTGTGTTCTTTCTTCTTCTGATAGTCTGTTTTAATCTGTCAGGGTACCCTCTGTGATGTGGTCCTGGTGGTTCAGGGGAAACACTTTCCTGCTCACAGAGTTGTGTTGGCAGCTGCCAGTCACTTCTTCAGCCTCATGTTCACCAGTAAGTGTGCTCACAGAAACATGTAAAAAAAGAGACAAACTTGATATTTTCCCACAAAAGTCAAGCTAGAGAGACCTTTCACCCTGTTGTTAAAGTGGAGTGTGATATATATAAAGACAGATGTTACTGTGCAGTTATGTGAATACATAGAAGTAAAAAAAATAGATAGACATGATTTGTCTCAGATGTTTTGAATTCAGTTGTAAAAAACATCACATATCCTAAAGATCTGCAGCCTCTTAGTTTGTGATGTCTGCATCAGTGCAGTGCAGTGATTTGACTGGGTGAGGTGGCTATGATAATAAAACCCTGTGCTGATTGGCTGCCTGAATGTTGGTTGCAGACCAGGGAGAATGGATGCAGAGGTGAAAGAACACCAAATCAATTAAAGCAAGTGCTCCAGAAGAAGATTTGCCAGCACTGAGTCAAGTGTTTCTTAAACTAAACTGCAAATGTTTTCTCGAAATGGCAACACCTACTGAAGGAACATCATTTTCCTTCAGTATTGTCAGTGTTGCTACGCTGATGGAAAGGAAGGATTTATATGTTAAGACAAGGAAAAATGTGTTTTTCTTTAGATGGAGCCTTTAATGAAAAAGATGTGTTTTCACTCAAATATACAATCGACTGAAATATAAGCTCAAAAGAAATAGCTGGGTTACTCACTAGGGTTTTGAATATTGTAAAACAGAAAATTGATGTCTAACTTTCTTTTTTTCTCTCTCCCCCAGCCAGAATGATGGAGTCAGTGTCCCATGAGGTGGAGCTCAGAAGTGCTGAGCCTGAGATCATCGGGCTGCTGATTGAATTTATTTACACGGCTCGGTATGAAACCTTGCACACCAGCAAAAGAGTTGATGATTTAAGGGGACAAGCTTAAAATGTGGCTTTCAGACTTTAAAGAGGATTAGACCATCCTTCCTGTTATACCTGTTACTGTCACCTGGAGCCATCAGAGCAAGCTTTTTATTAAAGTGTGCATGTGTGTGTGTTTTAGGATCTCAGTGAACAGCGGCAATGTCCAGTCGTTGCTGGATGCTGCTAACCAGTACCAGATTGAGCCTGTGAAGAAAATGTGTGTGGAGTTCCTCAAAGGACAAATTGATGCAACAAACTGCCTCGGTAAGAGAAGTCTTTTTATCTGACAATTCTGTATCTCCTCAGACTGACTGATCCTTGTCCTGTCCCGCTGTAGGTATTTGTGACCTGGCAGAATGTATGGACTGTCCTGAGCTAAAGGCAGCAGCAGAGGACTTTGTCCAGCTTCACTTCACTGAAGTCTATAAACTGGATGAGTTCCTGCAGCTGGATGTCACACAGCTCATACATCTGCTGCACCAGGACAAACTTACCGTCCGTGCTGAGGCCCAGGTGTGCATACTTGGACACTTTCTGTAATAGATTCTGTTACAAAGACAGGGCTGTGAAGTATAACTACACAAGTTGCTTCCTTTCATAACTTGGATAACCAATTTGAAGAAGCTGTAAGATGACTACAGTTAGCGTTGTTGTATTCTTGTTCCAGATTTATGATGCTGCAGTGCGGTGGCTGAAGTACGACGTGTGCAACAGACAGCAGTACATGGTGGAGGTGTTGGGGTGTGTCCGATTTCCTCTGGTTTCCAAAACCTTCCTCTCTAAGACAGTGCAGGCCGAGCCGCTCATCCAGGACAACCCACAGTGTCTGAAGATGGTCATTAGTAAGTGGGAGAGAAGGAAAACCACCAGTATATCCTAATAAACAAGATGTATCACAAGAGTTTTCAGCACAAATATGTTGATATGAGCTCCCGTCTCCTAAAAACCTGACCTGAGTGATCATCAATATAAAGTGCACCTTTGAACTACATCATCTTTTATTGTAGACCATTCAGATTTATAAGAGAAAGATGATTTCTCTACTGCTTAGATCTGCTGTGTTGGCATCAGCACACACATACGCAGATGAGACATAAATAAACCAGCCTGTTCTTTTGTCCCAGGTGGGATGCGATACCACCTGCTGTCTCTGGAGGACCGTGAGGATCTAGGGGAGAGCAGCCGACCGAGGCGCAAGAAGCACGACTATCGGATTGCTTTATTTGGAGGCTCCCAGCCTCAGTCATGCCGCTATTTCAACCCGAAGGTAACTCTTTCTAGCCTCATAAGTTACTTATTTTTCCCACATTAGTTTTTAAAATCAATAATTGAAATTTAAGACTCATGAATTTCCCAGTTTGACATATAAAAAGTATTGAGCTCTGCATCTGTTTGTCTTACTTTGATAAGATCTCTGAGAAATAAAACCTGTAGCTTAAGTTTTGTACAGTTTGGTCCATTAAAATTATCTGGGTGTCCATGCAGGACTCCAGCTGGACAGACATCCGCTGCCCCTTTGAGAAGCGCCGGGACGCCACTGCTGTCTTCTGGGACAACGTAGTCTACATCCTTGGTGGCTCACAACTTTTCCCCATCAAGCGCATGGACTGTTACAATGTCCTGAAGGACAGCTGGTACTCCAAGCTGGGCCCTCCCACGCCTCGAGACAGCCTGGCTGCCTGCGCCGCACAGGGGAAGATCTACACGTCCGGGGGTTCTGAAGTGGGTGAGTTCAGAGAAGTAGAGAAGAGTTAAACTGGTGAGGGTGGAAAGACTTGTCAGCTCTGGAGGCATTTCTCATGGGGACATGTTCTGTGTGTTTGCAGGCAGCTCTGCCCTCAACCTCTTTGAATGTTACGACACCAGGACAGAGTCATGGCATGTGAAAGCGAGCATGCTGATGGCGCGCTGCAGCCACGGCTCTGTGGAGGCCAACGGGCTCATCTACGTCTGCGGGGGGACCGTCGGCAACAACGTGTCAGGGAGAATCCTTAACAACTGTGAGGCATATGACCCCAACACATCACAGTGAGTCACACAGACACACAAAAAAAGTACCAAACTGCACAATGCACAGAGTGTTTAGGAAACTGTTTCAGCTTTTTTGTCTTGTATAATGATGTTTTTGTAATGCTGCAGGTAATTTTTTCAATTATCTATCATTTTACACACTCATAAGATTTCATAAAATGTGATTATAAAAAAGATAGGCCAGGCTTATCCGTGGGGGACCTCGCCTTTCTTTAGAGACAAAACAATAAAAATTCAGAGAGCTGCAGACCCTCGGTTGACTTTTAAACTCCTGATACCCTCAGGGAAACACTCGATATCTTTGTTGAGGGCAAGACAGCTTCAAATATTCCTTGGTTCTGCTGGACAGATGAGGTGAACAGACAAAGGGCCTCAAACAGAAATAGGAGACTGACCTCAAAAGGTCAATCAGCGATGATGAATGGAGTGCTATTGTGCGAAACACCAAAAAGTCCCCTCCAGAAATAAGAACTCGGATAACTCTGTTCAAAGTTCTGAACAGAGGCTATTGGGATCATGCAAAACTATATAGAGTAGGGTTGAGGGACAACTTAGCATGTTGGAGATGTGGGGTTAATTAAATATCACTTTGATTGTGGGTCAAAACATTATATATCTGCCTGGTCTGTTACACTCTGCTTTCGTCTACCTGTGCCCCAGATGGAGGGAGTTGAGCGGGATGAGAGAAGCCAGAAAGAATCACGGCCTGGCTGTGGTCAACAACAGGATCTATGCAGTTGGAGGACAGGGGGCGCTAGGTACAAAAGTAGATGCACTCATAACCACTACTTTGATTTAGATACAAATAAGCCTGTAAAGACACACTATAACACATTTTTGGGATGCTTTCTGGTTTAGGTGGACTGGACTCTGTTGAGTACTACGACATAGCGACCAATGAGTGGCGTACTGCTTCGCCCATGCCATGGCGAGGTGTAACAGTCAAATGCGCAGCAGTTGGTGATGTCATCTATGTGCTGGCAGGGTTCCAGGGCGTGGGGCGACTTGGACATGTGCTGGAGTACCACACTGAGACTGACAGGTTAGTGTAATGGAGTCATGGTGAACTTAAGCGGCTTCAGCCTATTCCTTTTCTGAAAAGACTTTTTATATCAGTGTGATTTTTATTTGTTTGTTTTTTTTTTTGTTTGTTTTTTTAAACCTAAATAAAGCATTCATTCATTCATTCATTCATTCATTCAACTTACTGGGTTTATAATATCCATAAAATAATTTTTAATAGAAACAGCGAGTACTCTGACATCTGTCCTGTTTTGCTGTTTGCACAAATGTAAATGAAAAAAGTGCTTACTGTGATTTTATCGTGTTTGACAGATTTCCCAGAGTCCACCTACATAACCCACTTCTATGAACTTTGACCTGTTTTCCTGTTTGTTAATGTCTCTAAATGAATTATTGTATTTGTGTCCAGGTGGCTGACCTGCAGCAAAGTGCGAGCCTTCCCCGTCACCAGCTGCCTTATCTGCGTGGTCGACACGTGCGGCGTAAACGAGGACGAAGACATGGACCTCATAGACTCTCAGTCACACCCTGCATCTGATGTTTCTGCTGCCCCGTCTTCCTCATCTGCCCCGGCCTCCTCATCCTCATAGAACATGAGGGAGACGTCTCAGTGTACTGTAAATAAGTTGTTACATTTGTTGATTTTGGATGTGAAAGTGTCAGTGGACTGTGGAGCTGATTCTCACAGACAGCAGGGCTGGACTTGTGTTGTGACCTAACAGTAATATAAATATAAACGGGAGTATATATATGCAGTAAACTGTCTACCAGTTAGATTTCTTTACATCTTTGTGACAGAGTTGTAGTTCCTTTTGTTAAAGTGGAAGTGGAAAGTTATCCATAAATGTTAGTTTAAAGTGACGTAAAGTGAAAGATTTTTGTTTTGATAGATCCTCGGAGTGCTTTAGTAAAAAATCTAGTTACTGAGAAAAGATGGATCAATATCTTTGCATTTTTGTAGCATGTTCATTATGTAACTTTGCAATGTTTAGACATACTACAGCTGTTATTTGTAGATTTTTTGTTTTATTGTGTGACTGAGTGACAGAACTTCTAACGGGGCTAAAACAATATCACTTAATATCAATATATTTATGGGAAACTTGACAATTAAGCAACACTACCAGTCGAATTGATGGAGCAACACATCATGTTACATTACTGCATTAACATTACATGTCATCATCTATTCCTAATACTAGAGTTCATAATTTCTCCACACCACCTGCCCTGTGATTGAAACTAAGATGGAGAGGACATTGCCTCACGAAACAATTGTTTGTGGTGCTTTTATTTTGATATATTTTGCCTCCAGTGTTTTTATTTCTTGCATTGTAAAATTATGCTTTTATTTTGAAATGTTCTACTTTTGGTTGATCATTTGTCAAAGGCCTGAATGTCAACAGGTAAAAGAGTGGTCAAAGTTAATGTTAAGTTGATTTGTAACCTAGAGAGGCACAAACTCTAACGTATTTTTTTAATGTACAATAAACCTTAGAAATGTCTGTTTTTATCGTATCTGTCTGTCTGTCTAAGATGAATGTGGATAGTCGCATAAGAAAGCAGTAACTGAAAACACACTGAATTTGATATTGTTTATTTTATAAATGGAGTAAGCTTAAGCACCAAATTCATATGTACCGAGGCATTGATAATAAGTTGTGTATTATGATAACAGTAGCTGCCGAACAACTTTTGGTCAACAGACATGATAAGACGATGATTTGCTGAATGAAAGTGTCAGACTGAAGTTATTTAGTTTCAGACACTTTCCTGAATAAAACTTGAAATCTGCTAAAAAATATGTAAAGACTGCTTTAGGAAAATTGATCCAACATGTATAGTATATGATTACTTCATTTCAGACAGCTTGTTGAAAACGAATGAAAAAGGCAAAATTAGTGCAATAAAATTGTAAAAAGCTCTGTAGTTAACGAGTAGACGTGCTGTTTTTATGTGATACTGATGTTTTCTAACATCTCCTGAGTGTTTTTATCAAACACTGGAACGTCTTGCCTCATTTGGCCCCAAAGCTGCTCCTCCTCTCGCTGCCGCCTCCTCAATCATCATCATACTCGTCCTCACTCATCAGAAGAGCAAACCTGTTGTTAATGTCCTCTGTTCCTCCCCCCCCTCCTCCTCTTCCCCCCCTTCCTCTTCCTCCCCTTCCTCTCCCTCGTCCTCTCCCTCCTCGGCCTCTGCCTCCACCTCTGCCTCTCCCCCGCTTTCCTCCTGCTGAAGAGGAGGGATTGGCTCTGGAGCTGCAGTTCCACACAGCATCCAGCAGGCAGGAGTAGAGCTGTGCAGATAAGACACCACTGGCAATGAGGGATTCAGGAGTTTGGCCACCTGTCAGTTTCTGGAGGAGACCGTGCACCAAGGTACCACTGAATAACCTGAAGCACACAAAGGAATAGAAAAAACACTGAAAATGTAGGATAGGTGTGCAAAATTGGTGAGTTAAAACCTCCAAATTTGAGTTTCTTTAGGCAGACAGAAGAAGCATAGTGATCACTTGGATTCTAGTCGTGTCCTCAGGCTATAATACTGAAATCACGTCATTTTCTGCAGCTCTGATTCTCACAGGTCAACACTGCGGACTGTCTTTCTTCCTTTATGTCCTTACCATGGCAGGTGGGGCTCGGGCAGTGGCAGCAGCAATAGCTGATTAAGACACAGTGCACTCCAGAGGCAGGCCTGCCACTTGCTGTAACTGTGAGCAGCACCAATGTCCAGGCCCCGTCTCTCCCCTGGCCTCACACGCTGTTTATCCAGACGTGTCCACACATGGCGCTCTGCAGCCCAGTTCAGCTGTGGGACTATGACAACACACACAAACAACATGTTTTAGATTATTGAGACCAAATCATTGTTTGTTTTTTATTGTTTCATAATCAAGAGGGACGTTAGATCGCAACTAACCGGCATGTTGGTAGTAAGCAGCTCCAGGCTGGTTATTCCAGGCCAGCTCACCGTGAACAAACCCAAGCACCAGAGCCTGGAGCTGGGACTGTGAGGGCGGTGGTTTTGCCTCTCGCAGCCAGAAGCCAGTAACTGCTACAGCCAGATTTAGGTGAAGAGGAACAGGAGCCAGCGAGGACTCCTTTGCGCCCAAGACTTCTAATAAGACAGCAAGACGAACAGCTGCAGGAGCCTGGATAGAGGGAAGATGGGAAAATGGTTAGAGTATTTGGATTAATGGCCATTGTGATTTTAAAAGCTGCTCTGATGAGGGCCACCAGGGCAAAGAGTTCATACGCTGGGCATGGTCAAATTAAATCACTAAAATTAAGATTAGTCAATTTTGTCCTGTAGATCTATATGCGCTTTTTGTTTAAGGGAAAGAATTACATCATACTTTTCATGATTACCTGTCCAAGCGTATGCACGTGTATGGAGGTCCTGGTTGAATGTGCCTCCACTTGGTTTTTCTTCAAGTTTAGGTCAAAACGGTCGTATTCCTCCACAAAAACTGGAGATCCAGAACCCTGAGCTTGCCCTGTAGTCGCACTTGCTGCTTGACTCCCACTATGTTGTCCCCTCCCTCCACCAACTTGACTACCTCCAGTCCCCCTTCCCCCTCGGCCTCTCCCACCTCCCCTACCCTGTACTGTCATATCTCTCACTTGTGCATCTTGCAGTAAAATCCCATACACCGCCTGGCGTATGACTTTGGCACAGCAGTGGCTGCTTGCTAGCTTGCTGTTCTCCACTTGAGATATGAGAAGGACTCTGCGCATCACTACAGCATCCACCACCAAGGGAGGCAACATACCTCTTGCTGCAGCTAGCGACAGACACTCTGGCAGCCCGGGGTGCAGCCCTCCAGGCGGTGCTTTGCTGGAGAACCAGCGCGCCAGAGAGCTTTGAGGGGTGAGGTAGTACTCCTGCATCCCCTCCCACAGCTTTGAACTGAGCCCTTTCTTGCCCCTGCCACCTCCATCTCTGCTGTCCTCTCCCATCAGCCTGCTCACCTCCTCCAGGGCCTCTGCTGGACTTGAAAAAGTGGACAGCCAGAGGAGGATGTTGTCAATGCGGGAAGCATGCGCTCTGCCTTTACCATGTCTCCCTAACGCTCTACTATCAATCACAGCCAGGAGATTATCTGCATCTTTTGGAGTACCATAGTCATTACCAGTCAGGACAGCACATAGAGGTAACAATTCCTTGTTTAATCCCCCAAATAAGCCGCACAGTGAGTTTGTAGTGTAGCGCCGAGCTGAGATGTAGCGATGAGAGGCTTTGCCATTAAGGTGGGTCCACTGGAAAGAACTGAGTGGAAGGTAGCCACCTAGGATTAAAAAAAAAACATTTGTACAGTCACAGCAAACTTAAGCCATATTTGCTTATCAAAAACCATAAAATAAACTTTGTTGCTACCCACACCTGGCAGGTCAAAGATGTAAAAATCACTGTCATTGGTCAGAACTGGGCAGTTCCACTGGTGAGCCAAACATGCGATTTCCCAGTCAGCCTCAGCTGGACACTGGACCAGAGGAACTCCTCCCTGCATGAGGACCTGAATAAACACATCCCTCGAGAGTAGAGGAAGGACGGAGCCATGACGGCCACGAGAGAGCCCATCCGCCTCCTTTATCTTGGACTGCAGGCGCTGACGCAGAGTTGGAAACTTCTTATCACTGGGATCAATTCCTAATAATCACAAAAAAGTAACAGCAATTAAACATTTGAGGGTGTTCACCTATATCTGCAGACAAACTGAAGTCCTGTTACCCTGCAGGACCTTTTTACAGCAACTTGAACCCTAGAACACTATCACCAGGTGATTTTCACCCGACCAAACATGTTTACGTGATTTTCATTATATTGCGTTTGTCTGAGTATCATGGATCCCTGGGTAGCTTCAGAATTGCCTTTGACATCTTTGAAGGCAGATTTGTTTCCCTGATCCAAAACCTGCTTAGTAAGTAGGTTTGGGTGGATTTGATAGCTGCATGTAGGCAAATAAGGTCAGTAAGAGTGGTCCTGGAATTTGCATACTATCTTCATTTAGCGCAGTGGTTATAGATAACTATCACAAAGTAATGATTTTAAAGGGAATTCATATGTGATAAGAAATAGTCAGCTGGTCATTTTTACTCACTCAAAATCTGCCATATTTTGGTTCTCTCTACTGCAGCTGTTATTGTGCCAAGGACCCTGAGTCTTCACCAGGGAAGACTTACATGCCCCAGGAATGGGTGGAAAATAAACTAAGGTTACAGTTTCTATATAATTTTTTTTTAAGAATTTTTTTTTCATGAATGCCGAATTTCAGTTATTTTGTTGCATTTTTATATGGTCCCCTCATGGCATTTTTTTCCCTCCCTTTGGACATTTCACAGTTCAAAATAAAAGGAAACTACTTTAATTTGTCATGTATTGTCGTATTTTGATATATTTTGATGACAAGTACTGTTTCTTGGGTATATTATTTCGGGTAAAAATCCCCATAGTGATGGTGTTACTAATTTTAGCATTAATGTTCTAAGGTTAAAGGGTGTACATTGCTTTTCCACTGCAGCAGCTGAGGCCCAAATAAAGTTTTTCCCTCTCAAATAGTAGGTGGTGTTTTTTTTTTCCATGTGCACATACAGAAATGTAGGGCCTGGCTGGGACTAAAAGTTCCTGGTGCTTTTGCACTTTAAGGGCAACATAAACAATTTATTTAACACAGACATTTAACAAATAGTAAACTACTGGTCACTCAAATTGGCAAAAGATGCAAACTTCTGGGAGCATTGACATTATACATTATATTATTATTTGTACTGCATCTTTACCTCCATCCAGGACCACATATGGCTGAATGTTACAGGCTGCCAGAGCAGACAGAAACTGGCTGAGAAGACAGGCGAAGGCATCATAGTCTCCTCCATGCTGCTGGTCCAAACCGTGGTGAAAGTAGAGGCGGAAGTACAGACTGCAACCATCAATAACCAGGCGGCTGTCCCTGAACTTCACATCATGAAGGAAGTGTCTGTTCCCCTCCACGTAAGTGGTCAGACCCTGGACACCCATGAGGTCTCAGGTCCTGGGTAAGCATGGAGAAATATGAATTACTCACATGGGTAGTGGAGCTCCAATGCCACGCTGCTGACTGGTCTGAGTGTGTGTTGAGTCTGAGGTTTTGCAGTTACAGAAAGAGACGGAAATATTTCATAGCAGACCTTAGAGCACAGCTGTAGACATTGGGAAAGAAACAAGTTTGGATATCCTCATAGAGACTGTTCTTAGTCAATTTAGGCCTCAGTGGGAATTACCACGACATAAACGAGGAACAAGTAAGGCACATATAGATTTGGTAAGTATTTAAACAATTACCCCAGAAAAAGTTCATATATACAGCATTTAGTGAAATGCAGCCCCCTGACCAAATGTCACTTCTGTTTTCATGTCAAACGGGGTTATTTCCGTGTTTTTTTTGCCCTTCAAAATAAAGTCCATCGTGTGTTCAAGAGGATTGAATTCAGTTATATATGAAGATAATGACAATTTATTTAAAAGCGCACTATTTGGTGGCGTATTAAATGTAATTGCATTTCTTAAAAGCACCCCAAAGGTGTGGACATTTCAACATCGATTGTACACACCAATTATTTTGAAGTGCCCCTATCACGCTACGTGTCGCGAGACAAATCGAGAACGCACAAGCCAGCGAGCGCGCTAGCCAGTTTTGTTTTCCCGTTAGTAAAAATCCGGGTGTATTATGACCACAATGTCCGGAGGAACCAATCTGGGGGTCCCGGGCTCGAGCCAAGCACCCTCTTTAACATCCATAACCCGTAAAAAAGACAGCAGTCCGTCCGCCAGGTTCTGGGAGAGTCCGGATACTCTAGTCCAGCTGGAGCTGGTGCGACAGTGGATCGGGAAGCACTACAAAAAGGTACCGAGGCTAGCTGAGGGGCAGCAGCTGAGGGGCTAGCCGCCCCCTGCTAGCAGCCACGGGCTCCGACTGTAAACAAATGGTCATGCTGCATAACGGTGATCTGCTGTGGTTTTTGCCATATTTAGTAAATTCAGGGTGTCTGGTCCCTGTTTAATTCACATTAAATGAGGTTCATGCACAGCCAAGTTCAGGAGGTACATCAAAACAAATGCAATAGTTACATCAGGAAGAGTATCAAGGAAATGCTTCAGGTGATACTATTGTGTTGTATTCAGTTTGAAACGCAGATCAGTCATCTCAGTCAGGTTTACTTCTCTGTGTGTTTCAGTATGTGTTGGTGGATCCTCCATCCTGTCAGGCTCTGGCTTCAGTCACCCTGCAGCTCCTGCAGTTTCAAGAAGAAGCCTTTGGCAGACAAGCTGTCAGTCCTGTTCTCACCAAACTGCCTGTGAGTTATCCTCCTCCACCTCCTTTTCTCAGTGTTATAATTTAGGAATAAGCCTCAATAAACAAAAAGGTTTCAACAAAGGATCATGTCTCTGCAGGCTCAGTGCTTCCTGGACCTGCGGCCGGGTGCTGGACTCTGCCACATCCTCGGCACTGCCCACAAGTTCAAGGCAGAGCAAGGCTGGTGAGTTATCTTTTATCTTCAGTATTTACCACTGTGTTTCTAGGGCTGGGCGATATGTGAAAAAGTTTATCACAATATTTTTTTCTGGGAGGTCTTTGCGCTAGAGAAAGCAGACTGAATGTTCGGCTGTTTCAGCTGCACAGGCGCCGTGGGCTGCTTGCTCGGGGTTTGTAACCTTTTGCATTGCGCGTGCTCTGCCGCGTGGCACTGCTTCAGGTGGTGGAAAAGATTTTAGGTATTCCCCGACTTTGCGAGAACATGTACTTGACATAATTTACAGTGCACATTACTCTGCTTCATCTCAAACCTTGAAAAACCAAAATACATCCACACCACCGCCATTTTCATGCCAGTGTCATGCCAGTGTTGTCGACAATGTCGTTGAGCCGCAGCAACTCCCCTTTTCATTGGCTATTTGTATAGTCTACCAAAACATGGCAGAATGCTGACTATTGAAGATATATTGACCATGTTTTAAATTGATATTGAGGGAAATAAATTTTCGATGTATATCATTATTGTTTTATCGCCCCACCCTATGTGCACCTTCTACTTTCTCACTCCTCTTCCTTCTCTTTCCAGGCGGAGGTTTGACCTGCAGAATCCATCTAGAACTGAGAGGAATGTTGAGATGTTTGGAGCTATAGAGAAAGCACTCGTCCAGGTGAGAAAAAGAAAACTTTTAATACGCAAACATCTGCCTTTTCCATCAGGTCTCACTGATGATTAACATGATATGGCGTTTGTTTTTAGAATAACTGTATGACTCTCCCTGTGGTGTACCTGGACCCTTCGCTGGATCAGGAGCTGGCTGGCAGACTTTCAGATATTATCACAAAACACCAGGTAAAATGCCAAAGAAAAGAGTCCGCAGATTAAAATGGAATGAGAAGGTTTTAATAGGTAAGAAACAGCTCCGGCATATTCAGTTTTAGAGTCTCTGTTCTTCCGCAGGGTTCACTCACTGAGGACCGCACGCTTGCCAGTCATCACATCTACCCCTCACCGGCCTCCAAAGATGAAGGTCAGTCAGAGATTGGAGTCACATGGGAGTGTGAAGCAGTCTGGTGAAAATGTCTTACACACCTCTGACTTGATACATTTCCTTGTCACATCTATTTTCAGACGAATGGATGCGTCCTGTTATGCGGAAAGACAAACATGTCTTGGTACATTGGGGCATGCACCCTGACAGGTAACGCACAAGCTCACACACACACACACCCACACACACATACAGGGCAAGAACTAATGTGTTTCTTGTCATTTTTGTACAGTTATGATAGCTGGCTGTCCTCCAATGATGTTGAAGGAGAAGTTGAAGATCCTCCTCATTCACAGAAGCCTTGGCAGGTACGTCTCTTAATTCTTTGTCATTACAGTTTAATAACACACTTTTTATGATCTTTCCCAAATGACAAGAGGCAGACACCAGAGTTCAGGATATATAATGAAAGTACATGTAATTCTCGCAAGAATGGAGCACAAACAATTCATCAAGCAGATACACAGAGGTGGTCCCCCGATTGTGGGGTTTTAGAGTCTTTTCTCCTCATCTTCTTGGATCTTTGTCATCACTTCCAATTTAAACAAGTGTCTTTATTTTTGCACCCTCTATGCACATCTTTGATAGCATTTTCTCATCACTACTACAGCAATTCACGGCTAATTACACAGGTTGATGCTTAACTGAACACGACATCCCAACATTGGATCATGTGTTACAGCAGTCTATTTAGAGTCAGTTTGTGCCACAAGTTTCATTATTTTTTAGACTGAGACAAGGTTTTTGGACTAAAACACCCCAGAAGTATTGTTTACACTTGGCAAATCATGTCTGCAGACACTGCAGGCAGTCTGAGTAGAGCAGTAGTAGAGTAAGCAACATCAACATCCCTTTAAATTATCAGAGGTAAAACGATATGATGATATCTAAGAGTTTGATGTATATTCTGTTATATGGAATAATGAGAACAGGAGAGTTATATAAATTGCAGCTGGCATGAATGTGTCATATTTGGACATCTTGAGCATGCAGCCTATTGTATTTTTCTATTTCATGAATCAATTCAAAATCCATCTGGCATATGTTTTTGGCTTGGCTCAGTTATTTTAAATTGTGACGTGCATTGTTAAATGGTTACATTTTAATCAAATGCAGAAAAACACCACCATGCTATCGGCTTTATTTATGTCACACATCACCTGCTCTGTAAACATTGGCATTAGTACAGGCCACTGAAAAGTTCACATCAACTGAGTTATTTGTGGGAAGTGCATTGCTGTCTTGCGCTAATTCTGCAATGCTCTCAGTCTTTGCAAATGGAAATGAGAACCTGTTTTATTGCACTCATGCCAGATCTGATCACAAGTGGCAACTCACCACACATAACTGGAGCAAAATACCAAGGCATAAGACGGTTCTATATAAAGCCTGAAGATTATTATTTATCTGCTCAAGCAATTGAACTGAAATGTTCCTGTGTGTGACACTCATTTTGTGTTACTGCTGTAGGTGAGCGCTGGCTGGGTTCTGGACACAGATGTTTTTAATGAGTGGATGAACGAGGAGGACTACTGTGTGGATGAGAGGAATGTACCCGTTATTCTCCGTAGACGGATTCACCTGAGAGATGACCAGGTTTGTGGGAAACTGTAGATCTGGATGGCTTGTGAGGGGGAATATGTATTCAGCTACTAGCTTCTTATATCTTGACCTACTTCATCTAGTATCTTGACCTACTTATTGAGATATATGTGACTCAGATGTTCATTGTAATGACTCTCTTCACTTTCATTTGTACCTCGCAGGAATCCAAATCAGCCCCTGTCAAAAAGAGAAGGCGCTCTCCATCTCCTCCCCCCACGGAGGGCAGGAAGAAAGGAAAGAAGGGGTGAGAAGCAACAGCTGTGCCAAATATTTAGTCATCTTCATGGTTTTGCATGTTGGTATAAGTCTCGACATTGCCTTCTTGTGTGTGTTTCTGTGCACAGAAGAAGACGTGGACCACAGGAGGAAGAGCCCGAGGAGGATTTGACTAAAGACATGGAGGATCCCACCCCTGTCCCTAACATGGAGGAAGTTATCCTACCCAAGAATGGTAAACACTCAGCCAGAGCAGAGGCAAAGACAAGAAAACAGTCACGTGAAAGTATTTTTTTCCTGAACTTTGACTTTGTCTCTCCTGATTTTAGTGAACCTGAAGAAGGACAGTGAGAATACTCCTGTGAAAGGAGGGACCATGGCAGATTTGGGTACATGTGTTTACATTTACTCCTGTTAAAATCATATAAGACCGGCCTCGGATAACCTCTGTTTACTTATCGTTCTATTTCCCATTTTCAGATGATCAAGAGGATGACTTCCCAGGAAGGGTAGACCCTCTTTTTTTAGCTTTAAAATCTTTCATCTAGTGAAAGTCTTTCTTGTCATCTGTTGTTATTAAAGGCACTTTTTTATGTTTCTGTGCTTCCAGGACGATGAGGATGGGAGACCGGAGATACCTCCTCGCCTGTCAGAGGCAGAGGAAAGCATCCCAGAGCAAACCCATCACATCATAATACCGAGCTACACGTCCTGGTTCAATAACAACAGGTAGATCTGCACCTGAACTCAGCTTTCTTAGCCTAACATTATAGCTCAATCACCAACAACCTCTCTGTCTGTGGTTCCCAGCATTCACTCGATAGAGAAACGCGCATTGCCTGAATTCTTTAATGGAAAGAACAAGTCCAAGTCTCCAGAAATGTGAGTACTGCGCATACCAGACTATTCATCTGATTGATACAGCACCATTAAGACCTGATCTTTCTTGTGCACTGCAGCTACCTGGCATACCGTAACTTCATGATCGACACATACCGCCTGAACCCCCAGGAGTACCTCAGCTCCACGTCCTGCAGACGCAGCCTCACAGGAGACATCTGTGCTCTCATGAGGTACGCTTAAGTGTGTGGGTGTTTGCCACTGTGCAATGCCTGCTGCATTTGCTAAATAAAGTGCAGCATGTGGGTGTTGGGATATATGAGTCTGTTTTGTAATTTAATCTGTTAATGTGGAGAAGGAGCATATGGTATGTAGGGCGTGTGTGTCTGCAGTATTTTCATATCCGTCTGAGGAGGCGGTTTCTCTGCTGAAAAACATGAATAAGTAAAAGTAACGATCCCCTTTGTGTGCAGGGTTCATGCCTTTCTGGAGCAGTGGGGTTTGATTAACTACCAGGTGGATGCAGAGAGCAGACCCCTCCCTATGGGACCCCCACCCACCCCTCATTTCAATGTACTGGCTGACACACCAACTGGGCTGGCCCCCCTGCAACACAAACCCCTGCAGGTAAAGCACGCACACATGCAGAGAGAACACAAAGAGCTCTGCACATTTGTACATGAAACACGTCTTTGTAACATCTGACATTCGTCCTGATGCGCTCTGGCGCTCGCTCTGTCTTCCACAGGTTTCAGCCTCGCAGCACATGTTGTATTTCCCAGAGAAGAGCAGAGAGAAGCCGTCAGACTGCCAGAACTTCGGTCTGCGCTCTGACATCTACGCCAAGAAACACCCAAAGGTGACACAGCAGATGTTTGTAAAACTCTTATACTGACTGTCTGCATCTTGTTTTGTTGTTTTTTTTTTAAATTTGCTGTTTTGTTTTACTGTATACTTATTTTACTAGACTCTCATTTCAACAGTTTCTGCAAAAGGTTGTTTCATTGAAGAAAAAGGTTTAAATGAATTCAATCTGATGGTGTTTCTCAGACTAAAGGAGCAAGTGCAGGAAGGGAATGGACAGAGCAAGAGACGCTCTTGCTATTAGAGGTAAGAAAATCTGAGATTATACACATGACTCATAATCCTACCATAAAGGGAATATTTTATTTCTAATTTATGTAAATCTTCCACATTAGCATGAAATTTTTCTCAACCTTGTTCATCGTCATGTCTCTCTCAGGCCTTGGAGGTCTACAGGGACGACTGGAATAAAGTCTCTGAACATGTGGGCTCCAGGACGCAGGACGAATGTATCCTCCACTTCCTCCGCCTGCCGATTGAAGACCCTTACCTGGAAGACTCTTCGGCCTCCCTCGGTCCGCTGGCGTACCAGCCCGTGCCTTTCAGCCAATCGGAAAACCCCGTCATGAGCACTGTGGCCTTCCTTGCATCTGTGGTGGACCCACGGGTGGCATCATCTGCTGCTAAAGCTGCACTAGGTGAGAGAACAGAGAGAACAGTGTTAAATTTTTGTTAGAAAGTGACCTTTTTTATGGTAGAGGAGACAGTTAACTGTGTGGTCATTATGTTTTCATTTGTCTCCAGAGGAATTTTCCAGGACGCAGGAAGAATCAGGGGATAAGATCTCGGAAGCATCAAATCAGCCTGAAAAATCAGGTAGGAATAAAACATGCTTGTAACATCGAGCACACAGACTTTAAATGCATTTTTATTCATTTATTCTCTCCTCCACTTCTGTTCTTCAGAATTGATGGATGCAGAAAAAACAGACTCAAACTCCTCTTCCCTTCAGGTGAAAAGCGATTACTGATCAGAGATGGTTTTACTAAACTGAGTGCTGAACTCTGAGTCTTACCTTTTGTGTCTGGGTCTGTTTCAGGTCTCTTTAAGAGCAGATGGGCTCAAGATAGAACCTAGTGGGGCCAAAGCTGAAGGAGTCAAGAGAGAACACGCTGAAAATATTCTCACAGAGGATAGAGACGGTCTGTAAAAATGTACCAGGACATATTTTTTGTGTTTTTGTGAATGTGTTTGTTTTCTATCTTTTAAAAAAAGTTTCCTCTGATCCAGGAGGGGATGACGAGGAGAGCGTAGGGCGGCGGGATGCAGATGGTGACGAGGGGAGGGTGATGGAGCAGGATCTGGTGGAAGCTACCGTTACCACGGCAGCAGCAGCTGCTCTGGCCTCAGCTGCCACTAAGGCTAAGGTAAGCCTGCCCCTCCGCTTTGAGATGGACCAATCACAGGAGGGCGAAGAGAAGAAAGGGTTGTTGGTTAGAGGGAAAAAAAGTCTTTTTTCAGTTGTACAGTTATATCACAGGCTTCATCTGTGAGGTCACAGGAGGACTTGGCTTTGCACGTCTTTTAGTGTATTAAGGATAATAGCAAATATCCACCAAAGTGGGGATGGAGGTTATTCAAAATGGATCGGATGAACAAGCTTTATGGGATCAGCATTTGTTTTTATTATAGACGATACAGGTTTGTTTTTAATATCGACGCTAAAGATCCTGTGAGGAGTTTTTAACAGTTATGAAAAAGACTGAAATTAACACTGGTGCTTTTTTATAGTATCCAAGAGAAATCAAGACCAGCAGGTACATTATTGATGTTTTTATACTGTAATTTTAGTTGACAGTCGAGCTGCTGAAAAAAAGGTCACATTTAACAATTTACTCAAAGATATTTACAAGAAATGACACATTTGACTGTCAAAAGTCAACAGGATGAAATTTTTATGTCAAAAGGTGCTGTTTGAGCATTTAGAGAGAAAGATATGCAAAGTCTGCTTTGTCCACAGGGGGCGCCATAATAGATCCAAACTGTAAGTTCCTCACAGGAGCTTCATGTAATGTGTCTGCTGTCTATTTCCAGCATTTCAAAATACTTAAACGATCAACATGCGCTGCCAGTTATAAATGCAGAAGCTTTCATGAATGTCAACACCGACAAATAACTTTTGAAGGTATTATAAACCTGAAATCTTCCATTGAGAAATAAGATAAGCTACAACAAAACTCAGAAACTACTAAGGCATGGATACAGAGGGAAACTGCAAGTAAAAACAGCTTAGAAATTTTACAGCAAATAAGTCTAAAATATATATATATAGATATATATTTCTGAATAAACACACCAGATGATGCAGTTCTCTTAAAAAGTTAGGGAGATGCTCGCAGGTAGTATTTTGTTCCCCCCTCATTATGCGTGAAACAAAACTAAACTAGGAATCCATGATGGATCTGTCACTCTTGTCCTGTCATGATTAGTCTTGTCTGATCATTTGAGGTAACTCCTGGAAAAAAGCAAAAGGTTTATCTCTCTAAACAGAAAATAGTTGGTCATCTGTCTCTTTGTTTACCGTGAGGCAGACTGAATTACCAGACTATAATTAAACGGAGAATCAGAGCTGCAGTGGTATTGAAAACATTTTACAGCGTGAGCTCTCGCAGTGTTTAACTGCCAAGAAATTGCCTCCCGATTACCGTAATATCGTCCCGGCTCTAGTTACTGATGATTGATTGGGTTGTTTTCTCTTATTCAGTCTCCCAATTTATTTTCTTTCTCTCTCCTCACCATGCTTGGTTGCATCCAATTTAATGTACCTTCCTCTCACCTCTTATCTTCTCCTCCTCTTCCTCAGTTTTCCTACTCCTATCTCTACCTCTTTCCTAACTGTCAAATGCACTTACAGCAGAGTTTCACTTTAATGGATGTTGTCCTTCCCCCTCTAACTTCTCGGGTCTTTGTGCTCTTCTGTTCGCAGCACTTGGCCGCAGTAGAAGAGAGGAAGATCAAGTCTCTGGTGGCTCTGCTGGTGGAGACTCAGATGAAGAAGCTGGAGATAAAGCTGAGGCACTTTGAGGAGCTGGAGACCATCATGGACCGCGAGAAAGAGGCGGTGAGTGGACACAAATACAGGAGGATGACATGAAAGTGAATTGCATTAATTGGTAAAGTTTATGAAGTGCTGTGTCACTCCACTCTTGTCTTGCCTTTTTTTCAGTTAGATTGAGTGTTTTCCATAAATATCAGGATAATATCTTGATTGCAAAATCAGACGGTGAATGTCACATCTCCTAACAGCCCTAAGTAATGACATGTTTTACTTCTGAAGATATTGTATCATTCAAGTAATCAATCAGATCTTATTTATAGAGCACTTTTCCTGCATGGACATACAACACAAAGTGCTTTACACACATAAAGGAAGAAAAAAAGGAACATAGAAAAGCAACTACAAATAAAGGCCCTCCCTCCTGCCCTTTATACTACTTGCACAAGCACACACATGCACACACACACACACACACACACACACACACACACACACAGCCACAGGCGCCTGCACACTCTCACTACTGACAATAGGGAGATATGATCCATGGGACATCCACACTGGGAGGTGTCGCAGGCTTCGCCACAGGGGGCACCAGCGCCCAGGCCCCCCGACCACGACAGACAACAGCCAGCCGGGCTGAAGGGACCCAGGGACAGTGCCCCCAGCAGCAACTCAGACACAGCTCCCAGTGTGGAGGACCCCCTAAGGAAATACTAGAGTTAAAACTGAAAACTAAAAGAATATGATAGGATTAAAAAAAAAAAACTGAAAAAAATTAGTGTGTGTTTACAGTTTAAAAGGATAAAAGATAATAAGTAAAATATTACCAATGATAAGTAAAACAAATAAAATTATTTAAGGTTAATATCATCTTAAAAAACAAGATAAAAGCAACAACATAAAATAAGATTGAATCGCGAAAGTAAGAACAGTCTGAGGGCCTCAGGACCGCAGCACTCTGTTAATCTCTTTTTGTTTTGCATGTTCTCCTGAGCAGGTATGAGTCACACCTGCTGTATTAAAGTGCAGCAATCATCTCATGGAGCTCCGGGACTTTCTTTCAATTTATGCTGAAGGAGAGTCGAAGCTTCAGTAAACACAGTGACATCTGGTGGCATTCAAAATCCAAGACAGCCCTTGAAACGATAGTCTTAAATCAACAATACGTCTCTGTTATATTCAGAGTTTTTGTCTTTTTGAGAAATAAAAGTTCAAGTGGGCACATGTGCATTCAGTATTTACACTCTAGTGGGAGTTTGTTGTGCAAAAATGTCAACAAATGCATCATCACCAAGTCCTTATGTTTCTCTCTTCTTATGCAGAAAACACAAGGTAACCTGTTTGTTTGCACACACCTGTAAACAAATACTGAAACACAACAGAAGTCAAATCTTTCCAAAACCTCTACCATTAAAGTCCAGGAGAGTCGCACATCTTCCATCTGTAGCTCTAGTTTGACTTTAAATTCCTACAACTTGTTGTTTCTGCAGCCTCCACAGGCAGCGGTATCATGTCTAGTCACTTACATGCATCATTAAGACTTTGTCCATGTGTGTCGAGCAGCTGGAGCAGCAGAGGCAGCAGCTTCTGTCAGAGAGACAGACGTTCCACACCGAGCAGCTAAAACAGGCAGAGATGAAGGTCCGCCAGCAGAGGGAGCAGCAGGGGCAGCCGGGTTACACGGTGCAGCACACAGGTCAGGACTCAAGGCGGCCAGTCAAACATGGCACACATACAAATCAAGGAGTAAAGCTCTCATTTCAAATATGGAAACAGTATTTCTATTCTTGTCATCTGTTTAATCACTATGACTGCTTTTGCTTTTACATTTTTAAACCGTCTTCTCTTTCTTTCAGGCCAGGCCGCGCCAAACCGTATGATCGCTGGCGGAGGAAACGCCCAGACAATGGCCCCCCGACATCCCGGGGCTCCCAACGGCATGTGTGAGTCTTCTTTTCTGAGAGCTTCTGTTGTTTTGTGCTTTTTCTAGTCTGATTCTGTGCATACCCTGACCTTCTATTTCTGTTGCAGACCCCTCCTCGCAGCCTGATGGGATCGCAGCAGCCCAACCAGGTCCCACTGCGACAAGCCACAGCTGAACCTTGAAGAAAACACACCCACACACAAACACACACGAAAACACAAAAACACATAACACTGGCATCAATGTTCAGGAGCAACTGTTAAAAATTTGAAGTGTAACTTTCCTGTCGTCCTTTTGTTTATAGACACACAAGCACAGACACAGTTGATGTGTATTTTTGTTGATGAGCTCGCTCAGTTTTATCTGTGAAATGTTTGTGCTCTGATGTCAGAGTTGAGGAATCTGAAGATTAAACTCGGCTCATTAAACAGTATCTGATGTTCTTTTCCAGCTTGATTCATTCATTGTGTGTATTATGGTTGTTTCCTACAGGTGCAGTGTTTGGAATAGAAAAGTCTTTATTGTCATTACACTAAGTGCAATGAAAATTCCTTTGTGCCATGCCTGAGTAGCAGAGACACATGCATGTACACATTCACTTACACATATATGTCATCAGAAGATCTTTTGTACCAACAGCCATCAGACTTTATAACTCTTGTGTAAATAGTAGATAACTTTTAGAGTCATATTATGTGAGACAACAAACAATTGAATTTCCCTTAGGGGATTAATACATTTATTCTTATTCTTATCAATAGAAAAGGATAATTACCCACTGTGCAACAGACGGCTATTAGACGTCTCATTTTTTTTAAGACCTAACTTAAACCGTCTAGAATCAGTGTATTTTTAGACGGAATGTAGACGTTGCACCCATTAACCCATTACTCGACAACCATTTATTTCAAAAACCCTGAGTTGCATATCTGATCTCCAAATACTTAACCAAAATGATTATGATAGCCGTTGAGCAATATACACTGTAGTACAGATATAGCTCTGTTAGCCGGCTAGTCTAAACTTGGTCTAATTTAGACGTCTGAAAATCTTTCATTTTTAGACCTGATTTTAGACCAGTCCTCTAGGCTACATTTAGACATCTATTAGACCTCTTTCAGACCAAAAAAATGCTCATTGGGTAAAATATATTCATACGTATATGTATTTTTATGTACACATATATACATACCTGTACATACACACAAGCACAGCCATTGTAAACTGTATATTGCACACACTGTCCTGTTAATTGCACTGGATGAGGAAGGAGAAGAGTCACGTTTATTGTCCTTGTTTATTTAGTTCAGTTATGGCTCTATGGTAAAAACTTTTCTTGAGTCTGGAGGTGTGGGATCTGAGTGCCCTGTAGCAGTGAAAATAGGTGATGACTGGGGTGGCTTGGATCTCTGAGTATGATGGTGGTGGTATGAAGGCAGTGTCTCCTGAAGATGTCTTCCAGTGAAGGCAGACTGAGTCCGATGATCTTTTCTGATGTTCTTAGGACTCTTTGAAGACTATTCCGGTCTGCCTCTGTGCAGTTCACATACCAAGCTGTCAGGCAGTATGTCAAAACTCTCTGTATGGAACAGAGGTAGAAGGCTCTGAGCAGCTCAGCAGACAAGTGTTTTGTTTTTTTTCAGTGTCCTTTGGAAGTGGTGTAGTTGAGTGACCATGTGAGATCCTCACTGATGTAGGTCCTGAGGAACTTGAAGCTGGTGACCTGTTCCACTTCTTGTCCCTTTGATTGTTAGGGGGGCATGATCCTCACTGTGTTTCCAGAAGTTGAAACGATTTCCTTGGTCTTTTTGATGTTCAGTGTAAGGTTGTTGTCCGTGCACCAGTCTGTCTATTTCCTCTCTGTAATGTGTCTCACTGCTGTCCAAAATCAGCCCCACTACTGTTGGAAATGGGAATATTGAGTAAAATCAGATTTTAGGTAGAAATGCAGAGATGCAGTCCTTTTAATGGTAAAACAGTATGTTGTTTATCCAGTATGAGACACAAGGTGGTGGGTATCAAATAAAGAAGAATAACCACCATTTAGTATATCATACAGCAGCATTAAAGAGTCTGAAGTCATCTAAAGAAGTCAGGGCTGAGGTTTGGTTGAATAAGCTCTCAAGAAACACTCTAAAATTGAGGTCATAAGGCATTATATAACACAGACAACACCATAAAAGATGCACCAGTGAACACGAATACTCAGCAGAGGGACACCTGTTGCATTAAGATGACGCTGATGAAAGCTCTTAAAATATCTAGTCTTAGCCTTTACTAACTGATCTGTCCAGTTGCATAAGTAAATTAACACTGAGGTGAAGTTAAACCTTGCAACATAAGGCAAAAAGAGATGTTTTCTGCCACAAAGCATCATTTGTCTCCATTTTATGCCCATTTTTAGAATAATTCAGTAAAGGTTTCATCCTTTGATATTATGAGAAATGACCCACTGCACTGTGAAACCGTTCTAAGATACTGGAGATTTAATCTGGAGGAGCTTTTCATAGAGAAGTTCTGTTTTCTGCTTCATTGGCAGAGAAGAGACCTGCCTCACCCCTACATCTTGGCATCTTGTTAGTATGCTTCAATCAGATCCTGGACCTGCATGCAGTCCTACCTTCCTTTATGCTTCCCTACCTCTCTGCTCTTGCATACCTGTAACCTTTATCCTAAATACCATCCCCAACCGGGTCCTACTTTTTCACCGTTGGCACTGCGTCCTTGTCTCACCAGGGCACAGCTTAATATTGTGTGTTTATTTCATTTTTTTTTTTAACACTGGGCAGATCATCAACAGCCTCAGGGGATCTTAAATGAGGCTAACATGGGAGTGTTTTTGCTTTACGGAGTACAGGGATGAGCTTCAAGTCTGATGATTAAAAGAGTCTCTGCAGCGTTGTGCAGAGCATGCAGTGCTACCTGCGCACTCCATCCTGTTGATAAAGGTTTTATTGATATCGATGTGGCTAAATAATCAGATTCAGCTTGTTTCGGTGTGTTGCATTCGTAGACACATGCACACACAGGACACTCTATAGGGGATTTGGACGTCCTGTTCACCCCTCACTGTTAAACACAGGGACAGGATGGAAAAACCAAACCTGCCTGAGCACAACACACACAAACACACACACACACACACACACAGACACACACACACACACACACACACACACTGTGCTTGGCGTTGATTAAGGTGTGCTATTCTTCCATTCTGGTCCTCGATGAGAACCATCTGTTCCTGCTGCACATTACCAACCCATCCTGCTTGTAGAAAAATGCCAGGTACTGGAAATAATTCAATCACGATGGGAAGAGAGAGGGTTTTACAGATAAGATGTTTGTGCCTGTGTGTGTTTATCACAGTAGATATATGAGTGTGTGTGTGTGTGAGTGTGTGTTGTGGGGGGATAAGCGGGTGCGGGAGCAATTTCGTTCTGCTCTGTTTGGCAGAGCATCAGTGAACATTTCTCTGTTGTTCCTTCTCCACTACTCTGCAGCTCCAGCTCCACTGTGTTAGCCATGTTAGCTCTTGTCTATTAGTCCTCTGAGTCCCATTACACAAACACACACACATGAACACACACACTGTCTCCCTCTATTCCCTCTATTGTCCATGCATCCCTCTATCTGTCCACCTCCTACTCCACTGTCTCTTCCTCGTGCACAAACCCACTCTCATCTTGTCGAGGGAAGGACTCAGCTCAGATCTGATGGTTTTTGTCTAATTAAAAGGGAAGCAGTAGGAGGCTGCACACAGTAGGAACTGGGATCCATTCACTTCTTAGCCATTGATAAATCAGTCTGGTTTTTTTTTTCACTGCAGTGATAAAGTATTTAGTGCTAATCATTTCATAATTCATTTGATATAATCCAATTAAGGCGCAGGGTGGGCAGTAAAGCTTCTCTGGGCCATTCGGATTTATGTTAGAGGCAGTAAACCTGACAGGGGACCAGGAGAAAGGATTATGGTGATAGGATAGTTATTATTCTTTCGATTTTTTACAGATTTTATTTGGAAAAGTATATTAAATTCAATATTTTACACAATATGGCTTTAGACTTCGATCCTCTTCCTGTCTGTGTCATTAACTTTGAATCATCATGTCCCATTAGAGTCACTAGTACAAAGAGTTTTTTGGGCGTCCCTGATCTCCATCATGCCGTAGGTTCCTCTGGATCACTGCTGCAGACATCTTGCTGGTGTGGACTTGCCTGTCTCCAGCTGCTTCAGCTACATGCATCAGTTGCTCTCAATTTTAGATTTTTTTAGGGCCCGAGCGTAGCTGCTAAGCAGCTGCGAGAGCCCTATTATTCCTGATGGATTCTTCTTTAGGGCCCGAGCGTAGCTGCTAAGCAGCTGCGAGAGCCCTCTTGTTCCTGTAGTTTCCTTCTTTTGTTATTATTATTATTTTTCCTCCCCTTTGAACTGGAAAATGGCCCACTTCCCACTGGCGAAAACTCATGAAATTTGGCAGGACAACCGGGCCTGGTGAAAAATTTGATATTCCGAAGTCGCCCAAACAAGAAAATGCAAAATGGCTCCATAGCGCCCCCTAAGGTTAAAATTCACACTATTCACTGTCACGCCGGTACGCTTTGTCAAAATGACACAAAAATTGACACACACATGTATCTCAATAAGATCTACAAAAAAGTCAGTGCGGGCGTATCTGTCAAATGTACGGTTAAAGGGTTATTTCGCATTTTTTGCCGATCCGCACACATTGGAATTTCGCTAACTCCTCCGAAGGCTTTCGTTCCACCGGCACCACATTTGCTCAGGCCAATCTACACCCCATGGCCATTAAAAGTTATTCAAATCATGACGCTGCACCCCACGGTTTAGGTTCTAGGGGGCGCCAAAGATAACCCTAAGATCCACATATTTAAAAGTCTTATAACTTTTTATTTTTGCCCTCACTGGCCTCCAAGTTTTCTAGGATGATGCAATGTCCAGCCATCAACACATTTGTGAAGGAATTTTTACTCCCCAAAAGAGCGCCCCCCCATGGCAGGAGAAAAAAGTCCATTTTTTCTTGTCCCCTAAGGTGAAAATACACATTGTTGAGTGTCACGCCTATACGCTTTGTCAAAATGACACAAAAATTGACACACACATGTAACTCAATAAGATCTACGAAAAAGTCAATGCGCGCGTATCTGTCAAATGTACGGTTAAAGGGTTATTCCGCATTTTTTGCCGATCCAAACACATTGGAATGTGGCTAACTCCTCCTAAGGCTTTCGTTCCACCGGCACCACATTTGCTCAGGCCAATCTACACCCCATGGCCATTAAAAGTTATTCAAATCATGACGCTGCACCCCACGGTTTAGGTTCTAGGGGGCGCCAAAGATAACCCTAAAATCCACATATTTCAAAGTCTTATAACTTTTTATTTTTGTCCTCACTGGCCTCCAAGTTTTCTAGGATGATGCAATGTC